AATTTATTGAATACAAATGTAAACCATTCATGCACGTCTTTTCTATCGTTTGTTGCTGTGGTATCCACGATCCAGTGACCAGCTAAATCACGTAAACACCCAGTAAAATGTGCACATGTAGCCTACATGACGGTTACAGATAAATAACTACACTAAAGGCATCATATACTTTTCATGCATTTTGTTTGTTTCCAATAATAACGCCACTCGAAATCCAAAGAAGAATGTTCAAAACCTAACTTGTAAACTTTCAGCTCAGTGGATATTACGCCTTTCGAGAAAACAGTGAAAAAACATGTACAACTTTTTGGTCAGGAAACACGATTTCGTCTAAAGCACTCTTTGTTTCCAACGATCGGTCAATTAACTGATCGTTGGAAATCACCTACATTTCTCCTATGTCAGCAAGCCAGACGAAATAATGTTCACGGGGTGTTTAGTACCAGTACGATCTTTAATCCAAGTAAGCTTTTTATGCCCCGCGGCGAAGCCGAAGGGGCATACTGTTTCCGCCTTGTCCTTCCGTGGGTGGGTGTGTGGGTGGGTGAGCTTGTCTTACATACGCAGTGTGGACTTCCGAACAAAAGACGTCCACATAATGTAGGTAGCAGCGACGAAGTGTGGACTTGCCCACGTCCACACAGTGTTTCCCCATTTCTGGAAAACAGGTTAAGAGGCATTTTTGGGTTAGGTTTATCTGTAGCAGAATGAAGAGAAACACTAAAGGGAATCATTGGAAAAAAATTGGGTTGTAAGAGTTTTCACAGTTTGAGAAAAATGAGTTTTTCCACTGGTGTTCCTTAACTACACGAAAAGAAAGGAAAGTCCACACAAGGTATGTGAAACAAGTCGGTGTGGGTGGGTGGGTGGGTGTGTGTGTCCGGAAAAATCTTGTCAGCGCGATAACTTGAGAAATACTTAACATATGAACTTCAAATTTGGTTTGTGGATTGTTCTTGGTAATCCTAAGAAGCCTTTTGCATTTGGGGCCAAAAGGCCAAAGGTCAAGTTCACAGTGGCTAAAACAATAGAAATCTTGTCAGCGCGATAACTTGAGAAATACTTAACATATGAACTTCAAATTTGGTTTGTGGATTGTTCTTGGTAATCCTAAGAAGCCTTTTGCATTTGGGGCCAAAAGGCCAAAGGTCAAGTTCACAGTGGCTAAAACAATAGAAATCTTGTCATCGCGATAACTTGAGAAATACTTAACATATGAACTTCAAATTTGGTTTGTGGATTGTTCTTGGTAATCCTAAGAAGTCTTTTGCATTTGGGGCCAAAAGGCCAAAGGTCAAGTTCACAGTGGCTAAAACAATAGAAATCTTGTCAGCGCGATAACTTGAGAAATACTTTACATGTGAACTTCAAATTTGGTTTGTGGATTGTTTTTGGCAATCCTAAGAAGCCTTTTGCATTTGGGGCCAAAAGGCCTAAGGTCAAGTTCACAGTGGCTAAAACAATAGAAATCTTGTCAGCGCGATAACTTGAGAAATACTTTACATGTGAACTTCAAATTTGGTTTGTGGATTGTTTTTGGCAATCCTAAGAAGCCTTTTGCATTTGGGGCCAAAAGGCCTAAGGTCAAGTTCACAGTGGCTAAAACAATAGAAATCTTGTCAGCGCGATAACTTGAGAAATACTTTACATGTGAACTTCAAATTTGGTTTGTGGATTGTTCTTGGCAATCCTAAGAAGCCTTTTGCATTTGGGGCCAAAAGGTCAAGGGTCAAGTTCACAGTGGCTAAAACAATAGAAATCTTGTCAGCGCGATAACTTGAGAAATACTTAACATATGAACTTCAAATTTGGTTTGTGGATTGTTCTTGGTAATCCTAAGAAGCCTATTGAATTTGGGGCCAAAAGGTCGAGGGTCAAGTTCACAGTGGCTAAAACAATAGAAATCATGTATTTATTCTGAGATTATAGGGATTAGGGATTAATTCATATAAAACCTACAGAAGACACTAATGCTGTCAATGAATGTTCCATGTGACCAAGGTACATGTAAGTTGATGTTAAAAGAGTGGTGTTATGTCATGGGAACTGTCACCGTTGCGGGGCATTTGTGTTTGTAAACACACCTGACCTGTTGATAATAATTCGGTGGTGGGTCACTTTTGGGATAAATGCAAATGATCCTATATGCTTTTTAAAATATATCTGATTTCCCGCCATGTTTTCTCCTCGCTGTTCTGTGCATGGTCCGCTTGTAAACGGTTTGTTAAAAAAGGCTTAAAACGTGCAAACAGCTGGGATATGTCATATTCATTGTAGCAAGAATTACCTCTTGGGATGCATAATATAATGTATAGGTCACATGACTAAAAACATTCTGGCGAATAAATCATCAGTTCACGATGTTATAAAAAAACCTGTTTTAATGGTTGCCATTGGAATCCATGAACGCTGCACGTCTCGTTGTGAGAAGTGTGCTGAAACGTGGCTGAAAAACCAAACGTTCTGTTGGAAATAATGTTTTTGATTAATTTAAACTGCACCAACGTGTCATTGTTATACCTGTTACGTAATATTGGCATACCCTTAAAAAAGACTGCTGCTGAAGGAACTAAATGACCAATTAGGTGAACAGTGCAATGTCCTAGACCATTCATTCAAACATCAGTGACTGACAGTGTGGCGATAATTTTATTTGAAACTCACTATAGCTATGTCCACGAAATAACCACTGTTTGCACAAGCCATTGCTCACCGCATGAAACTGGCAGAAACCACACCAAAAAATAAGGGAAAGGGGCGCGTGACTGACCGTGTCACACCTTCGCAGACAGTTTGTTCAAGGGACAATGGAGAAACTGGCCCGCAGAAAGGGTTTATGTTTGCACATGCACTCGCACACCGAGTTCAACCTGGGTCAAATAAGGTACCACACATCCATCTACGGTGTGATCATAACAAAGTTTAAAAGGCACCAAAGAAGAGAGCCAGCTTAACATTCATTTCTCGACTGTGAGGTGATCTTTCTTAAACCTCGACCTCTGACCCCTTTTTTGTGCAGTCGTCTTTGTTGTCTGTTTTAATTCAGGCGGACGTGATTATTCGCGGCTGGATGCGAGCGAGACTTTTTTGTGTGATAAATGGTGCTAGAAATCTCCCTTTTGTGAATATGACCTCAAAGTGGGTCCGTATATGCTGCAGGTTATCACGCGACGCATATAGGAAGAAACATATAGGCCTACCGGTATGTCCGTATAAAAGACTTCCTTTTCGCGAATTGATATGACGACATGATAAACACTAGTGGTATAAGATCTACTTCATGCAAAACACCACATTTTAAGCGCCACCACACCAAATCTGGGGAGTTACACTCGCCAGAATTTTCTCGAAAATGCATATGCGAATAAATACAATAAATCCCTGCTGAAGTAAGCTACATCACAACGTTTCGAACTTATTCAGGAAACTACGGTTACCGCCATTTCTGATACTAAAATATTTCCTGTTAAACAATGGTCAACAAACTCTTTCAATTCCTACAAAAAATCAAACGATCTTGGTAATAAACCTTACTTCAATGTGTGATTATGTATCAACAATATATTTCCAACGGAACTCAACAATTCTACCCTTCACTGACGTCCAGTTGTAACCTCCTAAAAAAAAAAAGTGCGCTAAAAATTACCGACGAACTATCCTCACGTACGTACGTGCGCGCGTGGATGGAAAAATTCGCCGACGGTACTTGAAAATAGCGCCCCCAGCCGTGGGATCGGTACATGTACGAAACAACGGTGTACCGATATTGCGCCCTCTTTCGACGATATGTAAATAATTTGTTGAATAGTCCACTTTTAGACATTTAAATTTCCCATACTTTTTTGGACAACTGAGGGCGATGTTGCTGTGATGTCATTTCAGGAAGACGCTGTTCAATTTAAGGATTTTCTGTTCAAATTGTGAACCCAAACATTCACTCATTGAAAGCATCTGTTCGAAAAGTTTGCTCATTGGCTTACTGCCATGAACTGACAGCAAAATATCCCAAATTTGGGCAACTTTTGGTGTTGAAATAATTGTAACATTGAGGTTTCTGCCTGAAATGACATCACACTTTTGCTCATGAATACGGAAATTCTTACTAGCATTAAAACCAAAAAAAGCACCAAAATACTCTTGAAAATGGCAAATCAAAAATTGAAAATAAGGTCAATTTAGACAAAAAGGTGCATTTTCAAGGATTGCATTAAAAAAAAAAGTTGCATCTGGTAAAATTCTAATCCTCGATATTTAACCTAGTGAAAAATCTCCCAGCTAACTCCACCTCATGCAAAATCAACCATTTCGTATAAAACAGCCAAAAACTCCATATGAGAGCAAGCAAAACGTTATTAGAGCCTGCATATTTTTCCTAATTACCACACGAAATGTCTGAGCTTTTCGGACAGTACCAGGTATACAACAAATGTCAATTTAAAACTGATTAGCCTCGAAATATCATAATTTGCAAAACACGACATTTTCATTGGCACCTGTGGTTTCAAATAACTTCAAATATTGTGAAATTCAGTTGTGCCGGGCCCATAGGTATAGCTCTAATTAAGGGGCGAAGCGTGTTAGAATGAGTAATTTTTTTCCCTCACAATCAATCGGGACAACATTGAGTATACAATGTTTATTAAAAAAAATACGTTGGTGAAGGGCAAAACTCAGTATTGAATTTACATCATCTCCGAAGTTTGGTAGCGGTACCCACTCCCACCCCCCCCCCCCCCCCCCCCTCAGCAGTGACCAACCTTTTCTTACATAAGGCAATTTTTCACATGTGAGAACCCCCCCCCCCCCCCCCACTTAATTCCCCCATATCAATTGCTTCATAATTAGGGAACTTAATTTTTTTTACATGTTAAAATTTCATTTCAGTGTTTTTTTGTCATTCTTTTTTTCCAAGGGCAGTAATCCCTTCATTCAGTCCCATTGGTAATTTTTTCTTCTGCAGACGTAAACCAGTAAATTCGTATGGTTTAATAATAACTTACCTCATTTCAGAGGTAATTAGTTGCCGCGTGTTGAAAACGTTCTTGATAATATCAGCCATATTCACACCATTGGTAATGGCCTCCTGGACAAAGATATAAACACGTACATAATTTAAACATGCTGGATTTGAGATTTTTTAATTTGAACTTGATCGACTGAATAATTTTGTATTGAACATTGAAAATACTGTACAGCATTTAAACATTGGTTTCATGTAATCATGTAATCATGTAACAGGAATGGTGCCTACTGCAATGAAAGGAAACTGCGCAAGTGAATCTGATGACAAAAGCTTCTCATGACCATTAACCTTGGAGAGACAGTATCACGTTTCACTTAATTGTGTTGCATTCATTAATAGTTTGAAAAATTATCGGCTGCATGTTTTCTCAAGTTAAGTTTTTGGCTGTTTTGTGTATTTTTGAAAATTCAAATTTTGACCTTTATTGACACACAATTTCAAATTTTCAGTTTAGGGGGCTGCAAAGTGTCAACAGACAAGCGAGATCTTTCAGGGTCAAAGAGGCCATGAAATAAATTTCATTCTGACAAGTTTTTGTGCAAAAATACTAATTCTTCTGAAAACCAACAGCAAAACGACAGGGGAAACAAAGAAGAATTTTTAGGGGTTGTACACGAAGCTCAAAACATGAACATCACATTTGTTTGCGTACTTAAGACTAATGGAAGTTGCAATAAACTCGGAATCAATCTTTAATGCCACCATGAAGATGAATGTAAATCAGTAAAAAAGTGTTTTTTTTACGGATTAATTTCTCTGAAGGAATAGTTTAAGAGGGGGAAAAGGTTGGAAAACCACAGAAGTAAACATTTAAGCCAAACTTAGCTGAGCCAAGCATTGGAATTCACATGAAAATGGGTTCAAGTTCAACAACCATGACGGTAGGAATTTAAGGAAACATGCCAACAATTTCTTTAAAATCTTTCAAATTTCCTGAACTCCAAAATTTACTTCTGAAGTTCTGGTTCTGAAAACCAACAAAAATTAGTTAAAATAGCCTCACTTCACCCAAACAGCAATATGCTGTTACAAATAAATAATACTGAAAGAACAACTTAGCACTTTTATTACAGCAACCGCAATTGTTGTATTGAACACCAGCCTATACACACACTTCCACAGTATTAATTCCTCCATACACTGAACTGGTAAAGTCACAAAGTGAGCAAAACAAATCCCCCAAACTTAACCCGACTAAAACGTACCTCAAGTTCGTTTCTTTGAAGTCGTCTTCTGCTTAAAAATGTTGCTGAACGTGCATTCCAAACGCACTCCTCCTACTAGGAAATTTGAACTCGCCTAGCCACATTTTTACTGAAATAATTGTTTCACACAAAATATCTGACCCCGTAAACCACAACTACAGCATGTGCTGTTCATTTAATTTTTCCCGCAATAGAAGGGCGCCACCATTTTGGTAAATAACACTGTACTATTGCCAGTAATCACTCATGCGTATCATTGGTGGAATTATGTTAATAGGCTGGCAATGGAGGAGCGCAGACCAATCAGGGCCGCGGAATGCGGTGAGCCCTTTTCCTTAATATTGACATTAAATCCGCCATTCTTCTCGCTGATCGGTGAACAACTGTGCCGCTAAACTATGCGCGATTTCTGCCGAAATAATCGGCGTTCTTGACACAAAAAAACAGCCCCGGCGGTGGAAGAGAAGGCGCGATGTCATTTGATGTTGCCGTGGAACCGGGAAATGGGCCCGAGAAGTTGCATAACTGGGGACAATTAAACGGCCAAGAAGTGGCCGCGATTGCCGAGTGCTCACAGGCGAAGTGTGAATCCAGCAGCGGTGCGGCGGAGCTGCAGCTGCCAACGACGGCCAACCAAGACATCGGGACAAGGCCGTTAGGCTTGGTCGCTCCATTCAACCGGAACAATTTGCATGGAAAGAGACGGCCCAGGCCCGGCCGTCACAGACTGAACACGGTGAGTGTAGAATTGCGCTCTTTCTTCGCTTGTGTAGTTGTAAGTAGATGCCTGTGTTCGTATATTTTACACTACTTATTTGACAGGTCATGCGCGCAATGGTCTTCAGTGGCCTAGATCTACTTTGTTGATTAATTGCACATACAATGACATTATCCAGAACTTACATGTAGTTTAGCAGTAGCCTAAGTCAGTTCATACTTAAAGCAAATTATGCTTGCCGTCATTGTGTATTTCTCAGTAATTCTTTTTCAATGTACATGTAGGTATTTGATTCAGAAAAAAATGAAAACCAATTGACTTTTCCAAGTATTTTGGTTTTTTATTTTATTTTGGGTGCTATATAACACCATCATTGTAGTATGAATTACCATTCTAGATGTTAAGTAGTATTATTGTACATGTTTATGTTGGTGATTGCCCATTTCTTTCTTGACGGTTCTTCTACTTAGTCAAGTTCTTGTAGATAAGAAAAGTGCTAGTTAATTTTCATTTTCTGTGTTTTTTTGTTCCATTTTGCTTTACTGTTTGTTTTGTAAATCAGCATTTTCTTGATCACAGTGATTAACTTAATTGGCATTTTTGCTAACTTTTTCTTTTGTTAATCAGGTATTCCCTTACATGTTACTTGTTAGCCGATTGCTTTATTTGGTATGATGAATATCCCAATATAGAAAATTAGATTTCTGTTTGGTAAAATCACTTTATCCTGTATGCTAGTGCCTTGAATTCCTTTTTCACATTCCCACGACCAAGGTATTGTGTACTATAAACAAGATCACTTCATGCGTGTCCAAAAGGTGGCAAGTGTCCGGGTTATTTTTCCAGTTGTACAAAATGGACTACACTCAGGTGAAATTGGTTTTCTTTTGTGCCCTATGCCCATTCTTTTGTGCTTCGTTATTGGTACCTTTACGCTTGACTAGCTGGTGGAACACAGGCTTTGGTCATTGTGGGTCAGAAACCTTCAGTAGTAGTAGGTTATGCTGTACTTTCGTTTTGTTCCAACAAACAAGAAGGACAACTGCTTTGCCTAAAAAAAACTAGAAGCATGAAGGTACTTTAATCCGACAAAGATGAAATAAACAGTTGTGACATAATACCATGGCAAAATATTATGCAAATACCAGTTGGTGTCTCTCGATCATATTGGTTTACTTTTGACATTAAACAATCTGGAAATCTGATTTCACTACTGTAAGTTTTGTATTGCATTCTGGCTTATTCCCTAGTGAAGTAAGATATTCATGGCCAATCTAAATTGATTATTTTGTTCTTTTTTTTTTTTTTTCTTCAGGACTCCATGCACAAGCGGAAGCGTTCCAGAGGTTATGCCAACAATGCTTTCTCCGCGGCCAGTCTGCCAGTCAGTATGCTTCAACCTCGGCCCTTCCTCCCCATCAACGCTCACCCTATCATGACCCAGGCGGACATGGAAAGAGTCCTGGGGTTGAACCTGATCAGTTCCCCGGCCAACTTGGCCCAACAGCAGCAGCTGCAGCAGCAGCGGCAGCAGGTACTCCAGCGCTGCTGCGGGTGTACGACTTGCACATGCAACTGTCACGTGACACGTAAGGCCAAAAGCGACACAGGGTCTCAGACCTGCGAGGACGATCTCAAACTGCCGACTATGGATCGCCAACAGCCGCCCACGGCGGTGACAATTCAGGAACCCTGCTCGTCGCAACTCCCGATTGATCTCAGCATTAAAGTCCAAGTAGTCCCGCCGTCGTCGGACAGAAATATTACTCAGGGTGACGTCGCTGGCATCGACCAACCTCTCGAACTGACCAAGAGGCCCAAACGCTCCAACGGCATGACGGGCCACCGGAGAGGAACGGTGAAGTTCCACCGGATGATCAACGCCATGCAAGAGGCCAACCACCTGTACACCAAAGAGTACGGATCGGCAGAAGATGTGGACATTAAGCCGATATTACTTAACAAACTCACTGATCAGGATCTGTTCCCTAATGGGCAGGGCCAGGGTGAAGGGAGCCCATCGAAGATGAGTAAGTTTGCGAGCAGCTGCAACTCAAGCTTGGATTAAGATGGCTTGGATTTTAAGAAATTTCGGGGCATCATGTCTGATGTTCTAAATTGTCCAAAATCCGCCACTTTGCAGGAAATCAATGGCACAAGGGGATTAGAGTTCCTCTGATCTACCTTCCTCAATCCTGCAAAATCTTTCAAGTCCTCCCGGTGAATTTAGAAGGATCTTGAAGGGTCAGGGTGAACAACCAAGACTGGGTGTTTGTTGTTACTTTATTTTCTTAAGTTGATAAACTCATCAGTTGGTTTTTCTAAGTTGTTATTGACGACTTGTAAGACTGTGTCTCGATTAAGTTTTTAAGGTCTTGGTTACAAACAAATTTAGAAACTTGTGAAGTTGTATTAGGTGCATTTGAACAGTTTACAATATCTTGCTGCGTTGGATATGGTCGGTCTTTCTTTGCTGAACAGGCATTAATCCTAAACCCCAGGCCTTTTTGCTCTGAACCATCCCTAATCCTTCAAAATCTTCCAAAATGTTTGTTCGAATGAAGGATACCCACTGCCTCAATCCTTCAAAATCCTCCGACAGTCCTGCCTCTCAAAATGCATTCATCCTCAATCCTGCAATCCTCCTCTTCTTCAAACACCATTCAGCCTCAATCCTCCAAAATCAACCAATACTGAATGTCCATGTGCCCTCAACCCTCCACAATCCTCCAAAATTGTATGTTGCATTCATCCTCAATCCTCCAAAATCCTCCAAAACTGCCCGGAGGACTTTGAAGGATTGAGGAGGGTTAGGGCTAACCTCTTGCTCAATTCAATTAAAATCTTGGCTTAGTCTTTAGAGCAAATTTATGGAAGGAGTCAGTGAAAACAGTCGATCGGTTCCATGCAAGAACAGTAATTTACACGAACCAATTTACATCCGATGTGTGCAAACCTGAAGCGTTTACACAGAAGAATGCATCCGAGCGTGGGCACATGACGGCAATAGCACTCAAAATGTCCATCCTCTCTCTTTTCTATCATTTGAGGGGGTACTTTGTTTGGACTCCAAAGCACAGCAGCTAACCTCATCATGCCAAGATTGTAACGGGGAGGCCAACGTCTGCACCTCTTACTAATTCAGATTAAAGTATTCTTCATCTGTGTCTCTTTTAGAATGTGACGGTATCAACCAGCTGGGCGGCAACTTTGCCAATGGCCGCCCGCTGCCGGTGCACATACGCCAACTCATCGTGGAACTGTCCAAGAAGGGAGTGCGTTCCTGCGACATCTCCAGACAGCTCAAGGTCTCCCACGGATGCGTCAGCAAGATCCTGGTTCGGTAGGTGCAAAGTCTTGGACATAACATTGAATTCACAAAACCATCATTAACGCTCCTATGCAAACATACATTCTGTGCCAAGTTGTCCTTTCAGTGGAAATCCAATCAAGTGACTGTTTTCAACAGTTAAGAGCTTTCAGCCTACATAAAGCAGGATTGACTGACTGTGACTGTTTATGTAACTTGATACAGCAATGCTTTGACTGTAGGTGATTGATAAACCAGCTGTGCCTACTTCTTGTCTGATTTTTGTCTGTTGACTGAATTTGACTGGTCACAGTGCTTGCTTGAAACATGATCTGACTGTCGGTGACTAGCCTGTGTAAAAGGCATGGCAGGGGAAGAGGATCGATTTTTTGAATGTCTGTGATTGTTCAAATCGGAGGGTTAATAAGTGTTTATGAATCAAGCAGAATGTTGGCAAAACAAAATGGTCCAAAATCTACACTCTTGGGTTTTTAAAAATGCGACAGAAACCTGACGTTGGGTGGTTTGGAGTGGAAAGGCAAGGGTATACGGATGAAGTTCAGCTTCTTCAGGTACAGAAACAGTACTCGAATCCAAACACAAGTATTACATGTTCAGAAATGTGTAAACCTTCTTTTTTGGAAACATTTCAATGAACAGAGGAGTCTATTGGTGTTCGCATTGTTTCTCTGCAGGTATCAGGAAACGGGGTCTATCAGGCCGGGCGTGATCGGGGGAAGCAAGCCAAAAGTTGCCACGTCCACCGTCGTGGACAAGATCGCCGAGTACAAGCGGGACAACCCTACCATCTTTGCCTGGGAGATCCGCGACAAGCTTCTCATGGAGGGAATGTGCAGTAAGGATTCCGTGCCCAGCGTCAGTTCCATTAACAGGTACGTTTCAAGTTATTTGAAATTGAAATTGAACCCTTCTCCTAACGATATTCCATATTCAGGTAAGCATTCTTTCAGCCATAGAAAATTGCGTGTCCAAATTTGCCTTAATCTTTCTAGTCTCAAACGCTACCAACACACTGAAGGGTGATTAAGTACTACATGCACCGGTACTCCTAAATTTGGATGGCTAAATTGAAGGGAAAAAAGGGTAATGTCAAAGAAAGCAAAGTTTAACCCTAACTGTTAAGGCTATTGCTTATATTATATTTTCAATAATGGGGTGTCTGTAAGACACCCAGATACCCAACTGGCTAAAACCTTGTCCCTAAAACTTGACCATTTCAGTTTTCTTATTGATTGGTACCTATCGGTACCTTAAAATCCTCTTGAAAAAAATTAATAAAACTACGGAAAAAAAAGGTTTATTTAATCCCCTAAGAGTTATTAGACATAACTCTTATGCACATAACTCATAGGCATGAAATTCTTCAGACTTTAGTCCAAAATCAGACCTTGTCAATCGAAGAGAAAGACATTATATCAACATAGAAAGCAAGTCATCTTTCAGACCTTTCATCAAAATCACCTTTCAGACTTTCTCTTGAAATTGACAACATCATCCCTACATCCTGAATCGCCTTCTTGAAATCTTGTTTGTATCCTTTTTTGTGTTATTCAATCAACAAAAACTTGTCCCTTCTTTGTGCGTACACTACAGTGCATTCCAGAAAATAAGTCGCACTGGCTCTTCCCGTGTTTATTCTGCCGCGGTAGCCATTGTTCCTGTATTCAAGCCGCGTCTTTTACGCTTCCCCGGACTCCCAAAAAACCCACCACTAAAATTACAAGTTGCCTTCACGTCTGAGTGGAGCCAAGCAAAAAAAAAAAATACTGTTAGCAGGTGTTGGGCATGTCCCAACAACTCTATTAGTTTGGCTAACAAGAAGCAGTGCTTACAGTCTCACTCCAAGGCCCTTATATTTGTGCGTGTACCCATAGAGCAAGGAACAGACCCCTATTCACGGAGGTGTGCAGGGCCTTCGAGTGCACCCATGGAAAGAAATTCTGAAGCTGGTCAAGTGAATGCTTGGGAGCTTGCGCACAAAAGAGCCACGCTGTACTATTCATGCGGTTAAGCTCCAGGCTCTTTTTTCCAATTTACCCTTTACTTTCGCAATGTACCCTAACAATGGTATTGTACTTTGCATCTTCAGTGTTGCCAGACTACAGTGTAGTTGCAGCAACAACAAAAAGAAAGAAAATTCAGGGACTGTGCACCAGTGCTAACTTCCTTTTTATTTGTTCACGCAAATACTGTTGTTAATTGTACTAGCATAAAATCTGGTTTTAAAGTGAGTTTGTGTTTTTAGTCATGAAGTGTGCGATGGTATCTATTGACCACAACAAAGTTGTCACTTTTTGACATCACAAACAATTAGTACTTTGGACATGATGTGTGCTGCGTTAAAAAAATAAGCCCAACTCTCTCAAAAGAAATAAGTGTGACTGAAAAAAGGGCTTCAAATTAGCCTTTTTGAAATCAAAGTCTATTGGGGGTGAAATGTAAATGCTTTCATTCTCTGGTTCCAGAGAATTTTTTTTTTGCAACATACCGGTATGTGATAAGATGTGATTATTTCATGAAACAAGACGATGCTTATGAAGGGGAAAATGTCATTAAGTTGTTGAAGTCAAGTTGTTGATGTCAAGCCCGGTTAAGTCTAGAGTTCTGCTTCTGAACAGACATTCACCTCTGACTCTGTTGGACACTCTTTTATCACAGGCAAAGAACTTCGATACCACGCAGAATTATGAGTATCTGTTGTGCTTTTATTTTCTTCACCAATAGAATCCTGCGCAATAAAATTGTGAATGGACAGGTTCGCCATGAACTGTCGCTGACAACCAAGAACGGCGCGGACAAGATGAACAGCGACCCAGACCAGAGCCCCATGACCTCGCCCACAAGCATGACTTCCCCGATGGCGTCGCCCACGTTCCGCCCCAACATGATGCCACACCCCCATCCCCACCCCACCCTGACCAAGCAGCAGATTGCCAGCATGTCAGAGGCCCAGCGGGAACAGTATGCTGCCTTCCTCCAGCTTGCCCAGTCCGCCTTGGCCTCCCAGGTCCAGGGTAACTTCCTCCCCTTCCCCGCCCCCGGTGGGCTCCCGGGGGGCTTGCCGGGGGCCGGTGGGGCCGCCGTCCCCCACCAGGGCTTGAACATGCTGACGGGACCCTTCGTCGTGCCTAGTTCCACTCTCCCAGTCTCGTCGGCTAACCTGACCGGCCTCCCCACGTCCACCCTAGCGCCAGGCTTGAGCATGGCTAACAGTAACACCCCTGTCTCCATTCATCCGCTGGTAACGGTGTCCAACACCCCCTTGCCTACCATTGTCTCCGCCCTCCGCGGGGTGACGCCTGTCGCCTCCGCCACCAGCCCGTCCCCCGCTGCCTCCTCACCCGGCGCGACGGTCACCACCGATTCTGCCTCAACGGCTACCACTGGGAGCCTGATGCCTGCCACCTCCATGCATTCCATCAATAGCCTGATTGCCACCGCCGCAGCGGCTGCGGCTATACCGCAAGAAGAGACAACCGCCAGCAGTCCGCCAAAAGTGAAGGAAGAAGGTAAAGACGAAACCGATTCCTAACACTACCCCACCATGCACACTCAAAAAATAAAAGCTGTGGCTAACTACACTTCTGCTCCTTCACTCACTAACTCTCAAAAGCTGGACTAAAATTTTTCCGTCTTCAACATCAGCCCTCATTAACAAGCTATTAATTAAACCATCGAAATAACCTATCCTCGCGTTCAGCTAATACGTTCTTTGCTGTGCCGCTCACATTTATTATGATGATAAACCGGAACGCCAGGGCCCCATTTTACGAGCTGCGGAGCAGAAAATATTTCTCAGTAAATTCATGTGCTGAGCATAATAGGCTTAATAGAACCGGTTATGAACGGGATATGCACCACTTGACATATTGATTGATAAACCATTTCTGTTGATGGTTTTTCTTCGTAAATTGTTTTCCGTGTCTGGCAAAATGTCTATGCTCGCAGCTCTGTGAAACTAGCCCATAGTCTGCGAGGCTTATACATGGCAGAAAAGAACATTCACAGTGTCAGCGGTTTATAGACAAGTTGTAAATCGAGTCGGACCATTTTATAATTTCCATGGCATGACGATGCAAATTCCTATTTTTGCCATTATATTGAAAAGGCACTTTGTGCAAAGTCAGCACAACACAGTTAAGTCTGTGTTGCCCACCATATTAAAATTGCAGGATTTAGGACTGATGAGCGAATAGTGTTCTCAGGTTTGCCTAGCTGCCATTAATATTTATGAATACTAAAAATTGTCGGAAAGAATTTTAAGTTACAAGATTTTGTGCATCTAGCTTTGGTTTCTAAATATTTGGGGTATGATTTTTGATAATGCCACCAATAAATTCTTGGAGCGTGACCCTCAGTTGATAAAAAAATAAATCACATTTTGCTCTTAACACCCCTACAATGCTTTACATTTTATGGAAATGTAATATACATGTAAGTCTAATCTACATTTACCGGTAGGAGGCATGCATGCGCATAATTTGAAATAACGCGGAAGTGGTTTAATACGCATCACAAACTACATACACTGTTAATATACATGTACATGTAGTTTAGGGCCTTATGTGAACAAAGAACTGTTTTGCACCCTTTTCGAAACGGTCACAGGGAATAAAATGTCTCTTCAAACTTCAATGGTTTTGGATAAAGCCCGATTGGACTTTTCAAAGAATGCCAGAAATAGCCAAATTTAGGGATTATCTTGTTTGGGTGAGCCAAACTGTACAGTTTGTATTCATTGCCTTGAACGTTGAGTACATGTATGTTGCGCACATTAACTTAATTTCTTTTTTTCTTTGTGCCTATTTTTCGGTGACTTGTGTAAAAAATATGTATAAATTTTATTTAAAGGGTACAGTAGTCTTAGGATTTTGTTGATATGATCATCACAGAGTAATCTTGAAAGGGATGTGTAACTAGGAAGTACCAAGTAGTTGGTATAGTCGGTATTATTAAATGAAGTATTGATGATACTCAAATATAGAATTGAACCAAAAAAATTGTGAATTCAAAAATGTTTACTCTACTGTAAATATAAGTTTATAAATGAAATCCGATCAGCGAACATTCAATTGTGGTCTGTAAATTGAACTGTAAAACAAATATTGTGTTACACTGTGCCTACGTTGTCAGGGTAGTTGTATAAGTGTTTTCTGTAAAGTTTATCAATTTAGGAAGCGGTCCTGTATTTATTTGCCATGTTTCATTTTCTGTTAACGGTGTTTTGTGAACTGTTTGTTTACTATAAATTTGGACAAGTATTGGTCATCATGAAGTAAATTGTTTAAACAAGTGTGAAACATGTTAGAAAGCTCACGAGTTTTCATTTGTATTCGCACTGACTTTTGGAAGACACTGAAAAATATAAAATATCTTTTAGAAAACCAAAAACTTCCCAAATTTGTTTTGAACATGCTGGGAAGTTCTTGACAAACGTTTTTCTTGCCATGAGCTTAAAATTATCAGGACAATGGATGGAAACAATGAATTGATTAAAATTTTGAATTTTTCATGAATCGTTTCTGAGCTAACGCATCTATTTTTTTTAGCACGATAGATTATGGTTGCATACAAAAAACAGCCCATTGATATCATGTCGGTCTGAAATATGAACTGAACTATTTGTTGTTGGTACATGTACCGTACTTCTGTTGAAAAAAAATTAAATTCCTGCAGAAGTTCTCCCAAGTCCTGCAAAATCCTTCAAAACCCCATAATTGTTTGTGAAGGTTTTAGAAGGGTTAGTTATAGTAGGTATCTCCAAATGACAAAATGTGTGCTTTAAAGTTATTACAAAGCAAAAAATTTACATGATTTACAACAGCAACTTGTTAGCTGTCGTCAGTATTTTTTTTAGAAATAAAAAAAAATAAAATGACAGTCTTGCTTTCTAAACTATTTTTGAATATATCCTTATTAAAAGAAGAGTACATCATTTGCAGCTATCCAAAAAGTAACTTGACGAAATTACTGTTGAAAAGCAAACTTGGTTTATAGATAGCAATGGCACTATTAAAAGACGTCTAAAGATGCATTTTTGGAAATTTCAGTTAGGAGTTTGTTTTTAATTCGGCGAAGCAATGAGTAAGAGTGCGCAAGGATTGACAGGACGCACACGCGGTTGCTATTTTTCGTCAGTTCATCGCGTGACATCACGTAGCTGCAATCGGCTGAATGTGAACGTGTCCCGGACACTGATTTTGGGCGCAATTCAAACATGACTCGGCAACTTTTGAATTGAAATTGAGATTCTACAACATTGTTTTCTCAAAATATACAGCATTCACTGAGCTAAACTTCATTAGGTTAGTTGTTAAGCACCCTTCTTTAGATTTTGAGCACTTTTGTTGCTTCAAACGAAAACATTGCACAAATAACAAATGATGTACTCTACCTTTAACGTATATGTTGCATTGAAATTTTCAGTAATTTTAAAATCGAAAGGGTATCTCTCCTTTCACGAGGTGCAGTAAATGAGAGAGAAAAAGCCGTGAAAAGTAAAGTTATATCGTAGGGTTTAGTTTGTTCCAAGATGTTATTGGAAACCTATCTAGAAGGAAAAAAATGGTCGTACGAGTACCGGCCAAAACATAAGAGTGTGTACATGTATCTCTACATATGTACTGCAGCTTTAGTAGTGTTCTTCCTTTAGCCAGTTGTTTTCTAGTCCGTGCACAGTTGTCCAAGTCGTTGCTTTTATTCATTATTTATTTTTCTTGGCATAAAGTTGTATTACAAACGGGTGCTGCTGCCTAAGCATTAACGCTAACACTTAACTTAAAGCGGTTCATGGAAGTTTACAACTTCTGGGCCCAATTTCATAGAGCTGCTTAAGCAGACAACTTGCTTAAGCACGAAAAAACATTGCTTTTAAAATTAGGTTACCGGCCAAAACTCCATGTGATGTACATTGCTTGTGACTGGTATTTTCGCTGTTGTTTACTTAGCATAACAATCGCATGGAGTTTTGGGTGGTAACCTGATTTTATTAAGCAAGACGTTTTTGTGCTGAAGCAAATTTTTTGCTTAAGCAGCTCTATGAAATTGGCCCCTGGTCTTGTTAAATTGACATGTCTAAAAGAAAAAAAGATGCTTCCAACTTTAAAAAACAAAAAGAGCTTTTCATGGAACACTACACTATGATTTGTTAAAGCGGTGGAGGTCTGTCTTAATTACCTAATGTTAACGTGCACAATATTTTGTAATCAGTGGAATACTTTTAATTAATATTCACTCTGTATTAACTGGGGTGTTTTTTTTTGGTTGGATGTATTGAAGCGTAATTGTGATTTCCATGTTTCTTGTTCACTCGAATAAAAGCAGATGAACTGGATGAAGTAAAAGACGGAAAACTGGTGCACAGTTTGTTTGTTTTTCTGGCAAGCTGCCAATGTCTTTTGCTTTTCTTAGGGCAGTTTTTTTTTTACTACTAGTGGAACTTTAAGTAGTATGTAATCAAAGTTACTCCTGAGGATTGAAACTTTCACTAAAATTGGCAAAGCTGTGACGCGACAGAGGAATGGAGTGATCTCGCAAACATTTAAAGCACGGTTAACTGGTTAAATATTAACGTCGCAAAATCTGAAGACCCCTTTACTATCTTTCCTCCACTTTGGGGTTTTCTGTTTAAAGTAAGTGCTGCTTGCTTTCTGAAGTGCGTCTTTAATCTTTCTCCGCACAATTTCACTCTGTCTGTTAAAAATGTTATTTTTCCGACACTTAACATTTTTGGGAAGTTTAAAAAGCACCCATATCCTAGTTAGTAGTAGTATTAGTGGAATCAAAAGTGAGATCTGCATACCATTTGAGGGGAGGGGGGATCAAATTTTCTCGCTCATACTACTGGTACCTTATCCCTAACCCCCAACAGGTTTTCTCTAGGCACCCTGCCAAATGCAACAAAATGCAACTTGGCTGAAATAAGAACCATGCTAAATGCAACAAATTGCAACAATCAATTATGTTGCATTGTGCAGTGAACCCAGTGCACACCAGCCTTGGCGCCAAACAGTTACCCTGCTAAATGCAACAAACTGCAACAGTGGATTCTGTTGTATTGTGCTGTGAACCCAGTGCACACCAGCCTTGGCGCCAAACAGTTACCCTGCTAAATGGAACCAAACAGCCAAATGCAACAATAAATTTTGTTGTATTGCCTTGGCACTTTGAGCAGTTATACCCTGCTAAATGCAAAAAGATGAAACAAGCACGGGGACTTGAGTTGCCTGCTAAATGCAACGGTATATGCAACAACTTTTTACCTTTGTTGCTTTCTGTTGAATTTAGAAGGGTTAGGGTTAAAGTCTTTTAGAGTCTCTTTACTTTTTGGTTAAAATGTGTAAGCCCAGAGTTTTTCTAAAGCACTCTGAAAACCTTTTCTAAGTTGAAACTTTTGGTGAAGGTAAACTACATTATTGGAGTTTTTGTCAAGCCCCTAACAAAGCAGTCACGAAATATTCAGACCCAAAAGTCAGGCGGCAACCTACATGTATTTTCCAATCATGTGTGACAAAAGGCATACCTCTGTCGTTGATCGTGCCCTGTTACTTCTGACCTCGCTTGTGATTTGACTTGTAATTCACTTGTGATCGACTTTACTTCTACACTTCTGCTTGGGCGCACCCTTTCTTAAAAATGCTTGAAATTTAATCAGCTATTTATTGTCAGAATGCCAGTTCGGATTTGGTTTATAAACATGTTCGGATTTGGTTTATAAACATGTACATGTACAAAATGAACAAAAAAGCTACAAGAATGAGCACTTCTCCTGTAAGGCTGATACATTCATATGACAACATTATAGCAAGAAAAAAATGTACATGTACATGTACATCGAGGGAGAATCGATCAAACCTTGTATGTTCCTTTGTTTTGGTGGCGTGTCGGTTTTTTTGGCGGCAGCTTTAGGTTCCCAGAATTCCAAGGTTTGGTTATAAATATCTCTGTGTAATTTTTTTTTTATTGTGCGGCAATTAAAAGTCCTTGGAATTTCAATGCTAAAAAGCCTGACCCAAATAGTGGACAATATGATGTGCATCACCAACCAGAAACTTCTACATTAGTTGCAATACTATTATTTAAAGTGTGGAAAGCTGCTGTGAATATGCTTACCAACCGAACTGACCTAACACAAGTTACAGGGCTGGTTGTGTTTTATTATTTTGCCTACAGTGTAGCACGGACTGTGCACGAACTCCAAGGAAAAAAATCCCACCAACTTTCAAGACGGTCCCTAATTCAAAGCCAGCCTTTTTGCGGTTCAGTAGGCATGTAACAAAGGCCCACTTCCACAGTAGACTGTGTATACATGTACATGTACATGCACATGTGGTTCAGATTTTATGAGCTGCCCGCTCGACCGTGGCTAAATTTTGTGCATAACACATCCTGGTCCCTACTGCATCTCCCACAGTGGAAGTTGCTTGTTCCGCCATAGGGATCTTACACGGAACAATGAACACACGGCGCGCCCAGCGATCGAGCCACTGAACCGAAAGATGGCTGACAAAGGCCAAGCCATGGTCGCTATTTCTACGCTTGGCAATGACGTCAGTGTATATTTTAGAAAGCAGACACACTATGCAGCTGCTGAAAGATTTGAATATGTTTGCCTGCAGAAAAACTGCTGCATCAGTGCACAGCCTTTGATCATGCAGTGTATTTTGCCTATCACAGGAGTGATTTGAAACAGTTAAATGCCATGTAATATTATACAAATAGTGAATGTTTATGATTGCAAAAGTAAGAGTAGTTTCACAACAAGACGGATGGAATGTTCCATTTCACGAGGCGAATGAAATATCCATCTGTCACCAAATCGAACTTATTCATTCTACTGCACGAATACAAAACATTCTTTATTTGTATAACAATAAATATCTAGAGTGTAGATGGCGGCAACATTTCTTTTAGAGCTTTCTTTAACTCCCTCGGCCTTTTTGCTAGGATATAGCCTCATTCCTGAAAAATCCTCCAATTGGTCTCATGGGAAAAAAATAGCATGATAGCCTCAATCCTGCAAATTCCTCCATTATTTTTTGAATATGTTCCATGGAGGGGTGACCACTGCCTGAATCCTGCAAAATCCTGCGGCAGTGACTGTCAATATGTTGAGGCTTGGCCAGTGACATCCTGGAGCAGCTCGGAGGATTTCAAGCATAATCCAGGCCTATATTTATGCATGGCTGAGCAAAAATAACACGAGGTCAGGCCCAAGACTTTGACAAGGTGCATCCTACGAAATCAGTAACACACTTTTGCCATGTAACCTCAATCCTACAATTCCTCCACTTTGGCAAAGAGGATTTTGAAGGATAGTCAGGGCGGTTAGGGTTAATTAATGTCCTTTTGCTGAATCAACATTTAAAAAAAATTCTGGCCCAAAAAAGGGCCAACAAAAATGCCAAAAAGGTTTTTAAAAAATTGTACCCCAAAAAATCATGACTCTGTCAATTCCACCGACATAAAGTAGATCAACCTTACTTTTTGTTTCTCACTGGAAAGAAATGTAATGGCCGTAAAAATTGCGAGAATTATATAAAAAAAATAATAAAATTAAACCGCAAAGCGCAATTCAGGATGTTTTAAAAAAAATTCCGAGAAAATATTCCGGGAAAACCCCACAGTACTTAACGTTTAAATACCGTGACCAGGAGGAATGCATTTTGCCGATGGCAGTTTTACAAAAGTCAAAAGTCATGAAGGTTGAATTGCTAAACAGTGGCAGATCTATTGGGTGGGGTGGGGGCATTAGGGGGTCTACCCCCCCCCCCCCCTCGTGCCACAAAAAAGGAAATGGCAAAAAATAGCAGCATATGCCTGCACCCCCCCCCCCCCCCCCCGAAAGCTAACATGCCCCCCTCACCCCCAGCCAAAGGCATAATATCTTTGTAGATTGCCCCTCTATATCATTATCAGTCTACTTACAAATTAAAATTTTACAAAAGGCCTTTTCACACTGCGCAGTCATGCGTTCAAGGCTTTTACAGTTAACAACTAAAATGACCTTTACTGTACATGTACCGATCTAATATCCTTTGGAGAAAATAAAAGCAGAGTGTTCTGGGTGCTGTTATCTGCATATATTAAACAAACAAGGTATGGGCGCTTAATGAAGCGTAACTATGTGTGCAGTGAGCCGTTTATTTTCTGCTGCATTAACTCTCCAGCTGTACTTGATCACCATGTGAACGGAATTAATGAAAACCAAAAAAAAGTGTGGGAAAAACCTTACATGTTTATCAAAACCAAACTGATATTTCAGGGGTTTTTTTGTTTTTGTTTTCAAAGTTACTTGTGAATAAGTTTGTGACGAGAGCACTATTTTTCTCATCTTACTGAAGAAAACAATTTGAATTTTTTTTTTTCCTTCAGAATTTGGAAAAGCATTTTTAGTATTTCTATTTTCTTGCCACTAGTTTGTGATCCATTTTCTAGGCCTACATGTCTTAACAGAATACTCTTTGCCGTGTGTTTGCTTTAACAAAAAAAAATCAAGTTTCCTTTATTCTAGGGAGGAATGCAAAATTAAACGTACAAGCGGTAGCTTGAGATTAAACCCAAGGTACCCTGCAGATGTTTGTTTAATGATCGCATTCCGTCCTCGGGAGTTCATTTGCATCGCCTCCATCTTTGAAGTGAATCGTTTTGTTCTTCAGGCATACACATTACTAGACCGTTTTTTCGCATTCACTTTTGAATGATTTATCAAAATAATAAAGTGTACAATATTGCCAACAAGCTACTTTGCACTTGCTTGCTGCAAGCTTTGCCATAGGCCAGTCAGACTGCTTTGCCTTGCCAGTGCTTCGTCTCCAAACTTGCTGCAAACTGACCAAGGCCAACTAGCTTTGGACAAGGCTTGCAGCAAATTTTCAGCGAGATATAGTACTAACATAACATTGAAATTTCAGCTTGCCAGCTTGCAAGTTTTCTCATTTTTTTCAGCAAACAGCTTACAAGCTTTCAGCAAGCTTGCTGCAGCCGCAAGGTTGCTTTTCCATATGAAGAGAAGTTCAGCTACCTTTCAGTGTGAACCGGAATCGCTATATTAAAAATCACTTTATCGTTTTCTTTGCACCTACCTAGAAGTTGCCTCCACCCTGACTCAGCTCAGCACGCCCAGTGCCACCACCAGGTTGTCAGTACCCGGGGTGTCCCGGCCCCCAATCACCCAGTCTCCGCAGATGCCGTACATTCACGTGGGAACCAGTGCCGGCGGCATAACCAACCTTGCCTCTGTGGTCGGCTACAGCGGGGCCGGGGTTCTGGTCAAAGACGAAGCGACGCAGAAGATCTTCCGGGTTCCGTTTGACAGCAGCAGCATGGGGCCGGAGACCAGCAACTACTACCAACAACAACTTATGGTGAGTCCGGCAGGCAGTCACCAAGCTGTGTGAGGCAAACCGAAACAGAGTTTATGACCTCCGATATTGTAACTTTAACCTGTTTTGGGAACCTTATGCCTATGGGCTCCGTTCTCGAACAAGAGGGGTGTTTCTGACCACGTCCAAGAGCCAAGTGGATGGCATCGACACACCGCGTGCTCGTACTGGTTCAGGCACATCAAGCGCGAAGTACGCATGACTCATTTCATTCTGAATGTGCACAAAGCCAAAACGTCCTTTCGCAAGTTGAAAGTCTTTTCAACTTGCCAAAATACACATAGGGGCAGGCGCCGTCAGCATTGCATTCCCTACAGTGTCTCCCTCAGAGGTCTCCCCCAACTCTCCCTTTCTTACCATTGAGGGGGTACTTAATGCACGGAGCCTATTTCAGAGAATTCAAGAATCATGCCGAATCGAAATAGATGTTTAATTTTAGACCGGAAACTTTATGTACTAATATTCCATTAGCTGGAATCTAGAGTCATTTTGAATGACTGCAACAGACAATTTTTCGGTACTTGTTCCTAATTGTTCCAAACGTTGAACCTAATTCAAACTTTTGAACCTCATTCAAACATTTCAGTAATAGCGACACTCTGGAATGCCAGACTAATATACATGGAGATGTCCAATATCTGAAGCCGTTGGAGACTAGCCAGTACATGTATCTGTCCCATTTTCTTCAGCATTTTTTCTTTTTTTTTCTAGTCTTTGCAGACAATTAAGTCCATCAAAAGCAATCACTTGTGTCAGGTCATAAGTCAAAGGAATGCATTTGTCAGAGTTTATTTCAATCTTCAAAAGCTTGTCACACTGCTTGGAGGCTGGGTGACTTTTGAGGGCTTAACTGTAAGTCTGCTGCGTCAAATTCATAACTGAAAACTTTGGTGTTCTGTTTTGCAGAATATGACGAGTGAGTCAACACACCTACACATGCCATCTGCCCCACCGCCGCTTACCCCAGTCTCTGTCATGTCGACAGTCAAACGGGAGAGCATTGAGGTGCCCTGTAGCCCAGCTCAGCGTCTCGTCAACCCAGGTAAGATTGGAGAACTGTCAACCGTTGATCAGAACTTAACATCTAGAAGTTTTGTAGTCCGGTTCATTACAGGTCCATCACAAGTAAATCACATGTCAATTCACTCGTCTGGTCATTAGTCGATTTGCACTTGCGGTCACAAGTAATGAGGATGAACAATAGCAAAGTATTACCTTTGTCACAGTTCATTTGGATACTTTGTGACTGACTTGTGACTGACTTGTGACTGACTTGCGATTGACTTTTGAGGGCTTTTGAGGACTTGTGATGGACTTGTGAGGACTAATTGTGATGAACTTGTTTTTGACTTGTGAGTGACTAATTCTGATGGACTTGTGATGGAATTGCATGTGAGGACTAATTGTGATTGACTTGAGTGAATTGTGACTGACATGTGACTGACTTGTGATTGACTTTTGAGGACTTGTGATGGACTTGTGAGGACTAATTGTGATGGACTTGTGCGTTCCTGTGATGGACTTGTGAGTACTTGTTGTGATGGACTTGTGAGGACTTGTGATGGACTTGTGTCTTGTGAGTGACTTGTGAGTGACTTGTGAATGATATGTGATGGACTTGTGATGGACTTGTGAGGACTTGTGATGGACTTGTGATGGACGTGTGAAGACTTGAGATGAGGTTGTGAGCGACTTGTGATGGACTTGTGATTGACTTATGAGTGACTTATGATTGACGTGTGATAAACTTGTGAGGACTGGTGATGGACTTGTGATGGACTTGTGATTGAATTGTGAGTAACATGCGAGGATTTGTGATTGACTTGTGACGGACTCGACTACATTACTGCAACATAGGTGCTTTTAAATCAGTTACTCTTGATGAAATTTTGCGTTTGTGGTTTTGAACTAAGTCGAGTTTGAAAAAGTCGAGCTGACAACAAAGAACCATAATGCCATGAACAAAGCCGAGATAGTACATGTAACTTAGAAACATCACCTTCCTTGATCAAAGTTAATTTTTGAGCATGCAAACACAAAAACTGAAGGTATTGGATCCAAAACGGTCATCTCTTTACCCTTTTCTCTATGCAGGACAAAAATCCCCCAAAGAAGCTGCCAGTGCTGGCATACCAGAAGATGACGGTTCATCCTCGGAGAGTGCTGTCCTGACCGAGCTGAAGCCAGCCTCGGTGCTGGGACTCCAAATGCCAGTGTCTTCCTCAAACTCCATCATCAAGGCAGAACCTGTGTTTACACAAGGTTAAGAAGTAATCTTTAATAAACACTTCCAAAATCCTTCAAAATCCACCGGATGGTTTGGATTTTGTAGGATTGAGGAAGGTAGACTGCGACTGTGCTCTACATGGAGCTTGATAGACCTTGGAAGTTTAGTGTACAATCGAAATAATTATAATTATAATGTGTATTTATAAAGCTCACGTATCCATCAGTATTGGTGCTCAAGGCGCTACATCATTAATTTTACCCTGCTCATTTGAGCCAATGGAACATTCCAAAGACCATCTTAGCTCCCTGGGAAGTATACAGCTGGATGCTGCCATTTTGGTACAAATAACTAGAATCAACTCACACTAACCATCTCTGCCCTCTTAGGTATGTTATCCCAACACCACTAACTACTGTTCCTGCAGAGTTCATTGCACTCTATTATACAATGCCTGAATAAATCGCCGTCATCTGATAGGCGGGTCGTTGATCACATGTCATTGAATAATTTGTCCCAACACACAGCCCGGCCGCAACCGCAAAAACAGAAGTTCCGTTCCACTGTAAATAGAAGGTCCATTGTGCACTCACACTATTGGTGGCGCTATAACAACGACCCACAAATCAGATGACAAGGATTTATTGTATAAAACAAACAATGAGTGTTTCACTTTTATGCAATGGAAAGAATATTCATCCAGTAACGGATGGAATGTGCCATTCGTCTGGTGGAATGGAACACTCCATCTGCCACCTCATGAAATTATTCGGACCATTGCACTCATAAAGGCTCATTATTTGTGTGCTTGTACACCGTTTACTTGTTGACATTTTCTTATTTTTGTTCACCGTCGTTGCTTTGCAGGGTAATAAACATGAACCTGAATTCCCTCTGGCATGTTTGTCATCCACCTCTACAGGTGGCCTGTCAACCCTGGCAGGTGTGGCCCAAAGGATCCAATCAGCTTTCCCGATGGGCCAGGCGCAGCCTGATTGGTCGAGGGTTGCCAGCGCTATCAACAGATAAGATTCATTCGGGAATACCTACATATTCTGAGCAAATCCACTGAAATTTCCTCTCTTTTTTAGTTTGAGGGCAAATGGAATGTTATTTATTATCTTTTTAAAAGGTTAAGCAGACCATTGTGCATTTTTTCCCCGTTTGAATTAACAAATGTGATCTTAAATATAAAGACGGATACTAAATAACTAACCTGATGAAGTTTGAGCTCTGTGAATGCTGTATATTTCGCAAAAACAGAACAAACATAAACACAACATTCTGGATCTTGATTTCAATTCCAAAATGCCGAGTCGTATTTTGAATTGCGCCCTCTCATGACACAATAATCCCGAAATCAGCATTCGGGACGTGATTCTCATTCACTCCAGCTGGTTGTAACCCGTTCACGGATTTGCCCAATTTCCAAACCAACTACAAATTAGAACACATCGGGGTGGATTCACAAAAAAATTCCACAATGTGTTACTTGACACATCTTTCAAAATGACCTTCTTTTGTTGTTTTCTTCAAAATGACAGCATGCCAGAAGGAATAATTTCACAGGGAGTTTAATAGTGTCATTACTATCTATTTAAAGTAAGCTTTTTCACAATAACTTGGTCGGTTACTGGAAATGGTCTTCTCTACCTTTAAGATACGGAAACAAAGCTGGGCACTATATGGTTTGGGATAGGCCGTGTCCGAAACGGGCTTCCAGAGCTACGGCTACGTCTATTGGCAGCGCGTCCCCGCGTATTTTCAATGGGCGCAGACCTAGACCTAGCTCTAGACAGTTGATTCGGATGCAGCCTAAATTTGGGGAAATACAAAAGAGTTTACTCATTCTGAATAGCGCCCTCTTGTGTCCACCATGTCTCATAAAGGCTATTGGTGGCATAGGTATTGAGATTTTGTTCCTGAATGTTGCCTTGAGGTGCCTTGTTCTTTTCTGTGATTGCAGCAAGAAAGTATTCTTTTCTTTATGGCTATCGCGATGTCTAAATTTAGAAATGTTTCATTTTCGAGAGCCATTGAGACTGAAAAAAATGACTGTTTTTTAAAACATGGAGCAGGAGGAAAAGTGGTTGGTTGATGCTCATGCAGTACCGATCAAACATTACTCATTTTGCCATTAAAAAAAAAAAATAAAAATCATGCAGTATTTGTTTTTGCTTTACCTCATAAATTTGCCGCAGTTCATTGAAGAAAGTTTTGTTCCTATGTCCACAGTATTGTTGGTTAGCAAGATGAAAATGTGTATTGAGCCATGTTTGTAGTTATCAATGTCTCATTTTATGTTATCAAGCTACTGTGAATTTCTCGGATAAATTGATTTTAATTGTTGGGTTTTTTTGAAAGTGTACATACACCTGGTCAACATTTGTCATGAACAATTTGTACTCGAGGGTACATTAGAAGCATGGACACACCACCAAATATTGTAGAGTTTTGGGTTTATGTGGGCTAAAAGTTTTAGGCTACATCTGAATGGTTTGTCGAGAGCTACTGTCTAGATTTTGGTTAATTGCAACTACAGTCGAGTCTCGTTAATACAAACTCGTTCGGACCTAGCCAAATTGTTTGTTATATCAGAATTTTGTATTAAGAGGAACATCAGTCCCATTCATTGTGCACATAAATGCACAGTCGGGACCAAGGCTTTATGTTTGCTATAACCAGAATTTTGTATTAACAGAGTTTGTACTAACGAGAGTCGACTGTACATGAGAAATGCTAACATAAGACATGGCTCTGAATGCCCTATTGGCCGTGGCCAAAGATTATGTAAATTTTGAGGTTTCTCTCGTGATGCAGGATTCATTTCCGAAATCATGGTGTGTTGAAATTGTGAGCGCTTTGAGTTGCTCTAACTTATAAACATACCTTTATGTACACTCAGTAACAGTTTTCCTTTGTTTTGTAAGTTTTCATAATTTGTACATAAAATGTAATTAATTAATTTGTAGAAAATTTTCCAAAGATATACCATACCAGCAGAGTTGTATTATTTTTTGTTTGTTTTAGACTTATATTTTTGGTAGACTGTATACATGATAAAAAAAAACCCTGTTTACATGGTGTGGCTTTTGTATTTTGTATTTTAGGTTTTAAAACTCACTAATTGTTTGGTACAGAAAACTTTACAAGGTCAACATTTTCCCAATTTGTTGCAGTTTTGTTAAAAAAATTTTATTATCAATTATCAAGTGAGATATTGACACATGGGCGATTGTGTAGTGGGCCCCTCTTTACTTTTCGTCAAATAAGAGTCCAGGTTGACCCGTAAATGGGTCTATTAACCAGTTCACGCCGGGATTATTTTGATATGACCGGACCGAGGCACGGGATTATTTTCCAACTTGACCTCAATGCCAGGCGGGTTGAAGCCATCACCCTGGGGCAGCACACTCATATTTCCGGCCTCGGTCGTTGTCTGTGGGCCTTGCACAATGCGTGTTTACTCGTCATCCATTCCGAATTCTGCAAAACCATCTGACGCGAATTGGTTAAAAAAGCAAGGGTGTATTTTATCATTCCAAAGTTGACCTTCTTTTAAGCAGACTTCTCTTCATATTAATGACATAACTTTTTTGTAATGTTAAACATTTTGTCATCTTCATCGTCACTTTACCCCAAAATTTTCCTAAAAAAATCTGCCCTCCATCTACGGCACACCTGATGTTGGTTTGTAATGTCGGTAACTAGTTTGGTGAGTCCAATAATAACCTGGATTTTGTTCCCTTGTACTTATAGGGGGACAGGGCCCTACACTACACAATCGCTGGTACATGTAGTCTTCTTGTATCCATTGGAAGATATAGGCCTACCCTATAATATATACAAGAAATTACGTGTCACCATATCGCAAAATATAACAAATCTTAGAAACATTATGTTATGAGGAATGTGTATAATTTCATTCAGCATTGTACAGTATACATTAATGTAGCACTAGCAGGGTAAAAGTTGTTCTCTTGTTTTTGGTTTTTATTGAACATCATTTGTATCTTCTTTCTAAAGTTTTACAAATTCATGTCAGCATTTTCTTTCAAGCTTTTCAGCATTATCTTTCAGCATTCTTGACAGGCATTTACTTACATTTATAAGGTGAACAGGGTACTTTGTCACCACTTTTCTTTCTTGCCGCAGAATATGGTTTTGATAAAGTTTCTTGAAGTTTCAAAATGTGTGAAAGTATTTCCAAGGATTAATGGTCTTGTTCCCGGAGCACTCCATCCCTACTTTGCAAATTAGCCATCACAGTAGTTTTTCCTGAGCACCAGACTCATTTTTGTCTCTTCCAGTTTTCTTTTCAAATAATTATGGGAAAAAGAAAAAAAAAGTAGGCAATATGATTCTATTTTCACAACAAAAACCTTACTTTTTTGTTTTTGTTTTTTGGGGGGCTGTTTTTTGGTTATTATTATAGTGAAGATTTGTGTAAAATAGTTTCAGAATAGTTTGAATTCACACTAATTAGTGTACCATGTAAAAATACAAAAGTCATTATGGTCTGTACAAAATAAGAATTTTTAGTTTTTTAATTTTGCAGAAAGTATACATCTCATATTATGACATGTATATTTTTTTGCATTTGGGAAGATGGGGCATTAATATTTTTTTAGTGGTACACTTATGCTGAAATTCCCATTGTGTGGTTATTGTTACTGAAAATTGTGAATTGTTTTCTGTTAATGAATACTGTAATCTTACTTCAAAAGTAGTTAATTCTCTCCAAAGGAGGGCTTCAAGAAATGTTTCCCCCATTTTTGTAACTTCGGTGTAGTTTGGACATGTACTGAAGTTTGGACATGTACTGAAGTTTAACAAACAGGTATACAAAATTTAACAATTGTAACTTTTTTTTCTTTTGGTATGTAAATAAACTACTTAAAGGTAACAAATTTTTGTAGTTGGTTTCTGTTATTTACTGTCTTGAACCGCCCCATCCTCACTTTTTGGCGTCCATTTTTACAGTAACACTTTTCTCAAGAAAAAAAAAGACACTACACATTTTTCTGTGTTTGTGCTAGTTTTTATTTATTGCACAACATTTCACCTTTTTTTTTTATTTCCGACAAGATTACTGTTTTTCAGGTAAGGGTGCTTATCACCGTGGTAATACGTATCGGGTGTTCTGGGGTGTGAAAAATGAAAGACAATTTTTGGTGGTTGTTTTTTAAGATGAAATTATGAACTTTGACCTTTGATAACATCCGAATCAATTGTTAGTCTGAATGTGGCTACCGTTTTTTACACCGACGAAGAACTGTAAAACTAAGAAGCCACTGACAAAAATGCCTTTTCAAGACCGCCTTAATAATATTAAAAACAAAATTGATATCGGTGCCAAACAGAGAGTCCCATTTTCTTTAAACATTGATGTCACATCATGAATGCATCAAAACTGCACTGATAATTTTGTATGAAACCTTTCAATCCTCAAATGTTAAACCTAGTTTCCATATGGAGGTAGTAACGCAGAGAGCAACGCAAACAAGACCCAAACTGCAACGCAGACATATGGAAACATTTCATCCGCAAATGTCACCGACAAACCAGACAGACGCAAACTATCTCACAGACGGTCGGCAAAGTTGAGCCCGGTTCAACTTTACCGACGATTCTGTGCACAGTCTGCATAGGCTTAACGTCGATATATGGAAGCTAGGCTTTCGTCATGTATGCCAGAACGAACATGACATTCCAAAATTGTTCACAACTTTTTCCCACAATTTTAAGCAAGCTGGCTATGGGTCATTCTGAAAGCCACGGAAATGACCAAACTTTGGCCAGATTTTGACAGTCATTTGTTGTGTACAATGGATTAAAAAAATTAAACAGTTAATGTTAAAATTACCTTCAAATACAGCCTTTTGACAGAACAGTGATATTAACATCCATTATAGCACCCTAACATGTCTGTACACAATGGGTAAAATTGTTGTAAATATTTCAAAGTTGATCAGTCGGTTTGAAAACCTTTTTTTGCCTCGTGTCATAATTACATCGTCAGTGATGTCATATTTAAAATAATACAAAGGTATATCGTTAATATGTGCAGTATCATACAAGTTTAAGAATTAAGTCAATTAGGTACGAATCGAGTCAATTAGGGCTGATGTCATCTTGTTCCCAATGGAATACAATCCTGAAAGGTATTAGGAAGTCACAGGCACCAGACTAATTTCACCAGGCCTTTTTTTTTTATAACCACATGTATGTAAAACAAATCCAAGATGGCGCTTGTACCATAGCAACAGTCAGTGTATCTGTGTTTTTGGAAAACATATTTCCAAAGACCACACACATGCTTTGGGTGGTTTCAAAACTTGATAAATATCTGAAATAACGATTATGCTGACAAAAGAAAAAATATGAGGAATTTGTCTTGTCGCACTTCATATAAAAAGTGAGTAAAACATCATTTTAATGAATGGATGTTAAAGACACAAGACATTTTAACATGTTAATAAGTCAATGGTGTCGACAGTTAACTTTTTGGTGTTATAAAGTTTACAAAACAAATGATATGATTTGGATTTCTATCGATGGAAATTTGGGTTTCTATCAATGTAAATTGCGAAACGTGCATTTTGTCCCGAGTCCTTGATTAAACCACAAGATAAAAACGGTCAAATCTACAAAAAAAACTTGCTCAAAATGCACAAACGTATTTTCAAAAGATGGGTGAACTTTGCAACAAGTTGACATCACGATGGATTTTGCATAGTAGATTCCTAATAAACACGTACTAGACAAAAACAAAACGTCTGGTAATTCTTGTTAATTTTTGTACTGCTTTTATCCTCACCAAAAATTGAAGATATTTTAAGAATGATTATGTACAACATTCAAAAGTTAATTTTCAATAAATACCATGTGGGCTGGTAAAATGAATATAAAAAGAAACGTCACTTCTGTGGAATTACATGTCTACAGTACAATTTACAGAATTTGTGAATAAATGCATGAATCTTGTATTTATCAGAATAATTACAAAAACCCAGTTATTTAAAAGTAATGATTGCATTTTGCTAAAATGAATAACGCTACATATTAATATTTTTTGCAATATTTACAGCTTCCAAAATATTAAAAATTATCCGGTTAGTCCATAGCAAGAGGCAAGGGCATCATTTCAGCATTTAGTTTAAAAAGAAGGAAAAGAGAGAGAAAAAAAAGAGCAATGACTTTCCATTTTCAGAAATATTTTTGAATTTTCATTAAAAAAATGAACAGACCAAGACAATAAAATGACATCTGATTCTCGCATTTTTCCACGTCAAATTCTCAAATTTCATGATCATACAATGTAAATCATATTATATCTGCTATTTTTTTCTCATTTGATTTATAAAAAATGAAATATAATTGCCAGGGCCCAATTTCCCAAAGCTGCTAAGCATGAAAAATATCTTCTTAGCAAATACAGGTCACCAGCCAAAAGGCCACGCTTTGTGTATTGCATGTGGCTGGTGCTCACCTGATTTTCGCTTAGCACTCCAATTTACTAAGCGATATGTTCTGCTTAAGCTCCGTGAATTTGGGCCCAGAAGAAAGTTTGATCTTTGGTGTGATAAAAACGGTTAGACATGAATTGATATACAGAGGTGAACTAATCAATGTAGATATAGCCTAAACTATGGAGAAAATTGATGTCTTGAAGACAAAAATCTGTGAAGTTTGTTTGCAAAACAAGTTGCTAAGCGCAGAAAACTCCCGCTCACCCCAAAAAAAAGGCCCTTTTGCCGGTCGCGCTCGTTATCACTAAAGTCGGTTTGGAGTATTACCACATTTGGGCCCAAGAGGGCGATGTTCCAATAAACTGACTGGAGTCAACAGTGCAGGGAGTTGATGTGTGTTGTCTGCATGTTCCACGTTTCTGGCACAAACTTCCCTGAAAACGGCCATTGGAAACGTCCACCGTATGAGCCTCGGGAACAAAAAACTGCCATTGAGGTCCTTTAAAAATTCTGCATAAAACTGACATCAGTCTGTATAAAAATGCTGGCTTTTCTGTCCTTTTTTTTCAGAGTTTGGCCAAGTCCATGATTTGCTGGGAAACCCGTTTGAAGTCCCAGGTGTCGCCCTTGAGTCTTTGGCGTCGGATACCGATCAGGTCCAGGTTGGGCAGGCGGCAGATCTCCATGTCAAAGGACAGGACGGTGCGGCCCTTGAAGTCTTGCTTCTTGCATCGCAACGTGTACCTGAGAGGAACACAAAGAGAAACAGTCTGTCACAAGTCCATCACAAGTCAGTCACAAGTCAAATCACAATTAAGTCAATCACAAGTCAAATCACAACTGAATTACAAGGCCATTACAACTCTGTCGCAAGTCCATCACAAGTCAAATCACAAGTCAAATCACAAGTCAGTCACAAGTCAATCCCAAGTCCATCACAAGTCAATCACAAGTCCATCACAAGTCAATCACAAGTCAAATCACAATTAAATCAATCACAAGTCAAATCACAAGTCAAATCACAAATCAATCACAAGGCCATCATAACTCTGATGCAAGTCCATCACAAGATAAATCGCAAGTCCATCACAAGTCAATCTCAATTCAAATCACAAGTCAGCAACAAGTCAATCACAAGTCCATCACAAGTCAATCACAAGTCAGTTACAAGTCAGTCACAAGTCCATCACAAGTCAGTCACATGTCAAATCACAAGTCAAATCACAACTCAATGACAAGTCCATCACAACTCTGTCACAAGTCCATCATAAGTCAAATCACAAGTCCATCACAAGTCAATCTCAATTCAAATCACAAGTCAGCCACAAGTCAATCACAAGTCCATCACAAGTCAATCACAAGTCAATCACAAGTCAAATCACAATTAAATCAATCACAAGTCAAATCGCAAGTCAAATCACAAATCAATCACAAGTCAATCACAAGTCAGTCACAAGTCCATCACAAGTCAAATCACAAGTCAGTCACAAGTCAATCACATGTCCATCACAAGTCAATCACAAGTCAAATCACAAGTCAAATCACAAGTCAATCACAGACATGAGAGAGGCTCACCCTTTCTGTTTGCATACGGTGATCTCACTTTTGCATACGGCGTCGTACACAATCTCCAGGACCTGTTCGGCAGGTAAGGTCGACGTAGTGGAAACATTATACAACGCCTTGAAAGAAAACACAAAAAGACACAAATGAGCAAACATTAAAACAGTGAAACACCAAAGTGCAAAGCCACATTCTCTTCTAACGTTTGGAGACATTTTGAAATGGAAGACTGAACGTTTCTAAACCTCAAATAACCATAACAACTTTGCCATTTAAATGCCAGGGGGTGTTTGCGCACGCATCGGCCCCTGCGCTGTATTGACACACAGTCTCCGGAAATTGATCACATGTTTACCCAGGATTCGACTGAGCACATACCATGTCCCATTAGACCCTTAAAAGCCCCCAATGGGAAGATGGGGGGGGGGGGTTCGATCTGATTGATCTGTTTGTGCTGAACATTAAGAGAGCACATTACCTACTTAATCCTGCTATACATACCATCAATAGGGGATTAAGGGATCAAGAGATTAAAGATGTCAAGTGCCACAGTTACATGTATGCGTGCACTTTTGTGGAAAATAATGAAAATAGGTCGGTGGTAATGAATGTTCTTTTAGGATTTGAAATTGGGTTGATCAAATGATGGAAGTGCATCTAGGGACACAACTCGTGGCGAAGCAATAGCATGATGGACCACATGATAAATTGCCCATATGGAGTGTGTAGGGGGAGTGTGGCCTCGTGGTTAGGGTTCGTGACTCATAATCAGAGGGTCAGGGGTTCAAATCCAGCAGCTGGTCATATGTTGTGTCCTTGGGCAAGGCACTTTAACCAAACTTGCCTCTCAACCCAGGAGTATAAATGGGTACCGGCATTAGCTGGGGAGTAACCTGTGATGGACTGGCATCCCATCCAATAGAATATTCTCAGTCGTTTCACGCCAAGGGAAGCGACGGTAAACGCCGGCCTGATGGGCCATATTGGCTCATGATGGACTTGGTTCAATTTTCATTTTTATTTCTACCTTGACTTTGCGAGGTTCGTCGTGGCCCGGGATGGACCATTTCCTGGGCGTCAAGAAGTCTTTCACTTTGTCCAGACCCTTCTCAAAGCTTCCAAAGATCTTCTTGGCCGAGCCGGACAGACTGGACTTGCGGTGCTGAAACCGGTGCTGGTCCTCCGGGTCGATGTCTAGGGAATCTTCCATGGACACCGCTCTGTGGTTTTCACAAAGAAAGTTCATTTTTCATGAAGAAGTCGGACTATATCTAATATTCAGGCATGCAACTGGCAATTTAGAAGAAAAAAAACGAGGAAACCCCCCCCCCCCAAAAAAAAAACCGAGGAAAACCCAAACCACACAAGACTTGGTACAGTATTTTTCAATTTGTAATGGCATTCGTGAGAAGTAAAAAATGAGGAAATCAGCGGATCCGAGGAAAAGTTGCATGGCTGAGCTTTGGGTTTTGCCCTTCACTTATGCTGTATACTCAGTATTGCCTGAGGGCTAGTTAGAAAATTGTTCACAAGCTTAATTGGTTGGGACTCCAACCCACGACCAGTTCTTTTGCAGTGCAGGCATATTTAGAACTTGTGAATTTAGCTCTCACTTACATGAGACAAGTTTCAGTCTCTGATCCTGTCCTGACATTTTTTGAAATGTCCTGATTTTTGTTTTTATCAAGGCTATTTAATGAGATGACCCTTTATTGAGTATTAAATTTCCAACAGAACAAGGTAAAGTGAATTGCCACCAGCACATTCAAAGATGTTGCAAGATGTGTTACGGTAGTTTTTTCTTGAGAGAACCACGGGGGAAAATTGTAACCTTCACGGACAAGTTGTGGGAGACTGACTGAATGTAGACTGACTAAAAAAAGTCGTGACAAATCTGCAAACTCGTTGAAGTCTCTGCTCACCTCTTCTCTGGGCTAAGATGATCAATGTGCAACAGATGTAAGTTATGATCCGTCGACCTTGATGGCGTCACGTGGGGCACCGGCAATGATAATGTTGGTACGACGGGAGTTTTCATGTCCGAGGACGTTTTGCCCTCACCCCGTTTCCGCCCGCATTCCCTGGCGTCGCTTCTGCTGCGGTTCCGGATGGGAGTTTTCAGCGGGAGCCCCGTGGGCTTGATGAAGTCGTCAAAGTCACTGAGGTGGTTCTCTTTCCCGTAGACGTTCCGATTGGTCGAGCCGGGCTGGTCCGGTTTGCGGGGCGTGACGTAGGTGCTCCTTTGGTGCACCACTGTATTGTGGGATTGTTGCCAGAGGGTGTGGGTCACGTCGGCCGAGTGGCGCCGGTCCTGGTGCCGGCTGGAGCGTCGGTAGGTCTCACCGTTCTCTAAGCCGTCCTCCATGGAGGAGAATTTGAACTGGGTGCTGGTGGGGGGTTCCAGGTGGGTTGGGTGGTGGTGGTCATTGGTCGAATGATTTGCATTGTGGCCCTGGGAGAAAACATGCACAAATCATTAAAACGATGGTTTAAACAAACACACACAAATCAATCCACATTCAGTCAAATCAAGCTTTAGTCTGACAGTTGACAAATGACTTTCAAATATGGGATCAAAGATGAGATCCAAGTGCTGAAGAAATTTTAGGATAAAGAATACTTTTTCTTTTAATTCTTTTTCACCAAAAGCAAGCACCGAGGGCCTCCATTTCAATACTTCCTTTCATTTGAAATTTGCTCACTGGAGGCGTGGAATAAGGAAATGCAAACTTGACATTGAGTCCAGTGATTAAATCATCAATCTACCCCGTAGTGCTTTCTTTGAGAAAAGGTTTTGCCCACTACTGATTATGTTGTCGAAACTTCTAGGGCTGTCCACTTCCGAATAATTTAGTATTTGATTAATCGAAACTTTGTTTGACCACATATTGAAATATTCGTCAACTGTCAATCAAGTTTACATGTGCCAGTTCCAATCACATGCCGTGCCTGTCAAAATATGCAAGCAAAAATAAAGCGCCACAACCTTACAATCAAAATAACATCAGTTATGTTTGAGTGTAGTTTTTTCTTTCTTTCGAATATTCGAGCTGATAAAAAAGCTATTTGAATATTTAGTTGATGATTGAATATTCAGGGCCTTCGGGACAGCCATAAAAAATGGCCTAGATGTAAGTCCTTTTTTACCATGACAATGTTTCATTTTTATAAACAAATGCTCGCCGTTGTTGCGTTTTGCATTGCCCATATCAATTTTGAACTTAACAGAAATTTCCCTTTTCATGACTTGTCTGTAACCTCAGAAAGTTAACCTTTTTTCCCCATTTAAAATACATGCACTTGCCTGTTGTTGTTTGATTTTGATAATGGTCTCATGACAATAGTTAAGTCAAAATGTGGGGCACAAGAACTGTAATCTCTTTCTTGAAATATATGTCCAAATATGTGCCCCGGTAAGTGGTTGTTCGTGTGGGCTGTTCAACACCTTCCACACAAAGCTATTTTTCGCTTTTCAGTTGCAAGTCGATTTATCTCCCACTACTGCCCTTTAGCCACCCACATTTAATTCTCTGATCCCGAGGCAGACGTGTTCGTAATGTTGTTTTACCTTCTCCCCTAAACTACTGCGCGGAGGAAGCTTCAGCCTACAGCCTCGTACAAAGTTGTTCAGAAGTAAAAAGTAAACAGCCGTGATTTCGTCGTAGTGCCACTGCAGAAATGGGGAAAATTAAAATGCCGAAGCAAGCAAACGTAATGATTGAACGGAACAAAAAAGGCAAAAAAAAATTAAAGATGAGAATATTGCAAACAAATTTATGACCGAAGGGTAGAGAATGATTGGGAGACATGAAAACAAATGTATGTTTTCAGACAATTTTTTTAATTCAATGACAGAGCTTTTTTGGCAGGTACATGTACATGTACAGGGTGGTGCAAAAAGAAGGAAACCCACTTTTGAGAGGAATTTTAACCTACTTACTTAACTTATTTGAGCTTCTTTTTTTTAAAATTTCATAATGTAGTGAAGTATAGGCTAGCTCTCCAACCATACGTGGTAAAAAAAAAATCTTTGAAAAAATTGCAAGAATAGTCTTATTATGCTAATTTGAATACAAGTCACCAAAATCACTGTTGTCCATGTGTAAGTCTAGTGTAGTGTTTTCTGGTCTTCAAATCAAGCTCTGAAGCCCAGTCAAGCGGATGGAATAAAGCTGTCCGTGGACACAAACAGGTTTGGCACATGAAATTTTTAAACTGCCATATCTCAGAAAAAAAGTATGGATCAATCATGTTTTCTTCACTATGTTTAAAGATCAATATTTTAATACCAATAAACTGAATTTTTGAAATAATGCTCAACAAGTAGGTGAAAATTGCTGTCAAAAGTGGGTTTCTTTCTTTTTGCACCACCCTGTAGAATGACTGGGGGAAGCGGGAAGGGGGGGGGGGATTCAGAGAGGGAGTGAGGAGAAGGGAGCAAAAAATGTGGCCAATTCGCCATTTTGAAATGCAGTTGATGCAAATTTTCAGCCAATGGACTAGTCGGTACAAGTGACGTCAGATTTCATGCAGAAAACCAACAGCAAAACATCAAATTTCTTGCATAAGGTGCAAAGATAGGAGTTCACAGGCATTCAAATGTGACAGTCAACTTTAAATAACTACAGAAAATGGAGAAAATAATAGAAAATCGAAAGAGAAAAAAAATTTGAAATCCTATTATACCGGTATGATAACTATCAAGCCTGATAAGGACGAAATCTGTCATGCCAAGTAGAGCACCATCCGTGAAGTGCACAAAGAAATTTTCAAAACCTTCAACTGCCAACATGCTTCTTAACAAACAAAAAATGTTGTAAAAAAATTTACAACAGAAGGTTGAAAATGGGAGTCTTTTCTGGCCACTATGGGCATTTTAGTTCTGCTCTGGTAGCTTCCATCGCTGTTATAAAACAAAATGGATCAGAAAATGAAGTTGCCTGCCCCTTTAAACAAAACCAAGTTGCACATGACTGCTATATTAATAAATGGAATCAAAAGATGGGCCTGCCTCTTTAAAAGCCAAGGCAAGTTACACATGTTACAGTGGGACAAGTGAGATTGGGGTTGACTGTTGGCTGCTATGATAACAAATGGAATTAAAAGATGGGCTTGCCTGCCCCTTTAAACCAAACCAAGTTGCAGGTAGGACCAGATATCAAGTCAGAGAGAAAACAAGATAGAGGATGCTTTTGGCTGCTATGACAACAAAATGGAATCAAAAGATGGGTTCGCCTGCCCCTTTAAATCCAAGGCAATACACATGTTGCAGGTGGGACCAAATATCGAGTCCTAGACAGAGCCCTGGTTGACGCTCAAGCAGGTGCACAGACCCGCCGCACAACAGGTGACGACTGAGCCTTTAATCCAGTGATGATGTACCCAGCTCATCTGCTCTCCGGCTGTTGATATTCATGAGAAATGCTGCTGTATAATGTTTTCTCCGTTAAGTGTAAAAATAAAAAAGAGGGTTCTTTGACATTTTGAGAGAGCTGGCGGCAAGTTTGTCTGTCTAGGGTAGACATTAGTGGAGTCGAACCGAGCAGCCTTGGGCTATTAGAGTTAGTGAAGTCTTCTAAAGTACTTTTTAAAATTGGTTTTTGGTTTTTCTCTTTTATTTTGGAGGGGGTGGTAAGAGATCCCAAAGACGTACATGTTTGCTTTTGATATTGTGTGAATTTAATCTACTGGTTTTGAAAGGTCTTTCGTGTGCAACACAAAGTATACTCTGTGTTACATGTTAGAGAACGCACCGACTTTAAAAAATGGTTCAGAGGATTTGTGTTTTTTAAGGGTCTGTGAAAAACAAATTGATTTTTTTTTTACAGGGCTGGTTTCAGGTTACTGACATGTGACCTGTATGTATGATTTGACTTTCTGGTAAGGCGTTAATTGTCAAAAAAAAAAATTTGCATTTTATTTTTTTCCTTCCAGATTCAGATTTCAAGACATCTATTCCCTTCATTGGGATTTTCTGAAAATTTTCTGATCGGGAGAGTTTTTCTGTTTGTAGTAGGGCTTTTATTCTTTTTTTTTTCTTCAAACCGTTGGACCAAGCACCTGCATTTTGCCACCAGCTACAAACCATTCAATGCCAATAAACACAGATGTCTAAGGCAACTTTGCTTTAAAAACAAAACTTCATTACCCCTGCCGAAAAACAATCTTGAACACAACACCGCCAAGTGTGGACAATTCTCGCAGTACTTGAACTTTATTAAATCCAACTTAAACCGTGCCCTATCCAAACTTCTCCTCCAGTAAACAAGCCTCCAGTAAACAAGCCTCCGCTATCTGTTTAAATTGTCGTCATCTTCACACCTGCAGAAACAAAATTGCCCTAAACTTAATTTGTCTGGTGTTTTTTTTCCCCTTCGCGTCTAGTCCTCCTCCCAAAGGAGCAGAGCATACCGGCCCACAGACTTTTAAATTTTTTATTCTTTTGATTGAGACGAGCCTTCGAGCAACGGCACTGCTGCGACTGATTCAATATAGATCAAGTAGAGCCTCGTTTACTGCTTCTATCGCGCGGGAGGGAAATGCTTTATCTCTCCCCCCCCCCTCCATCATTTTGATCTAATAGGGTAATTGTTGCCTCGAGTCATAGACCATGCTGTGTAATGTGTCCCCCGCATTTAATCATGTGGATTGTTTAATGTTGCAGTCGATGTAAACGTCCGTGGTTGAAGAAGGCACGGCACTGGGAAATATTCCTTCATCGTAACGGTAAAATAATCTTTCCATGTGTAAGATTTGCTTGAATGCAGAAAGAAGTGAAATGTCATTCCAGTCCAAAAACATTTTGAAAAGTTATGCAGAATTTTTTTTTTTCTGACGAAAGCGCTCTCAAAATATAGCCAGGGAAATTACAAGAACAACTTCCAAGAATTTTAACTGCCACAAATGGTAAACAATTCCTCGGAAATCTCTTTGAAGAAATTGGGGAAAAACCCTGAATACCAGGAGAAACTATATTACATAGTTTTTCCGAAAATCAATTTATATCCAATCACATACACAAGATAAGGTTAACTAATTTTTGCATTATGTCTACAAACTCTGCAAAAAAAAATGGGGGGGGGGGAGGGAGGGGTGAAAGGGAAGGGGTTTCAAGGCTGACAACAATGCACTGCACACAGCCAAACAAAATATGACGATGGTGAAATGAAGCTTCACTTTTTCTGATTGTCAAAAAACAAAATTTGTGTCAGGCAGATTACACATTTAGGCAGAAACAAAGATTGGAATTTACCTGCGTGACGATCGTCATCATGTCATCTTTGGTCTTGCCGTAATATTCAGCCATCTCCGCGATGCACTCTGTGTTCAGGTTGTTCTTCTGAAAAATGGGAATTCAAAAAAAACCAAATCAAAGTGAATTTTACAGATATCCAACAGAAAAATTCCAATGCTAAGAAAAACATCAAGCCTGCGTTGTTTTATATACTCGATGGACTGTGTGTATGCAAGTACCCCCTCAATGGGAGACTTTTGAGATGTTGGTGGCAGCAAACATATCGGTCCTTTTTCAATTGTTTTACGTCATGTTTAAGCCAAAACGCATGCTCAATATGACGCAAACAATGGAAAAAGGACCGGTGTGTTTGCTGCCACCAATGTCTCAAAAGTCTCCCATTGTTACAACGAGAGTATTACGTAGGACTCTTAAATGCATCAATTGCCATTGTTGTATCGTGTGCTTGGATACTGTAATTTCATTGGTCGAGAACAGCCACGTGTCCAGTCTGTAAAAATGCATATACAATGCGTTGCGCAGGTGAGTGTAGAACCCTGCACGCGCGCTCGTGACTGAGAACTGCAATGTGCAACTTGCAGTTATCAAGGGTTACACCGCCATGATTTAATATATTTCTTGCATAGTAAGCTATGACCATTTATCGTTTTGACTAACTGGCATGATATAACAAAACAGTTGTTGACTGCTGTGATATGCCATTTTTAACCCCCTTGGGGCACATAACACCCTGGGCTTCAAAGCCTCGGGTGCTATGCGTCCCTCGGGTGTTAAAAACATCATGTACATGAGGCTTATTAACATTCCACGTCTGGTTCCTATCTTTCAACAGTCAATAGTGATACATGTAAATGCCAAGCTAATGAATTCATTTACACAAGAAACTTGTTAATGAAGCACTGAATACCGAGAAATGCACTCAAGCTTTGGGAAATTTTCAATCTGCACTAAGTCTACACTATACACCTCACAAGCTCATTATTTCAAAATGCGCTTCAAATTGTCACTGACTTCTGGAGATCTTGAGATCCCAGGAAGATCTTGAGATCCCAGCCGCATAACCAAGGCCACATGTTGGCAGCTGCCACTCAACAGATTTGTCAAATAAGCCATTCCCCGGGACTAATGTTTGAGACCTTGGATTTCAGAAAAAAGGATGCATACATGTATGTTTTCGCTTGTCGGCCTTGTAACACCACATGTACTCATGGGTGAATGACTGAATGAACAAGCTTTAATCGAGTTACCGATTCTTCCTTGGACAAGCATTAGATCACTCGGCAGGGCGTGCGGTTACAACTTTGACAGCCCCTGAAATTTTGATTGCCCACTTACACATGACAAGTGCAGGGTCCTTCAAATGTGACTTCCATGTGATTGTACAATATCGACCAAACAAGGAGCACGCGACAGGGACTTGAAATGTTTATCAATGCTTGTTAACATTGTCTAGTCGATGTTGACGTGAATAATGTTTGCAATTGATGCTAATTGCTAAATTTAGTTTGCTTAAGGTTTTGCAACCTGAATTTTTTTTCACCTGATGTGATGGAAATTGAATGGGCTGTTTTTTTTTTTAGATTCAGGCTTGACATTTTTACTCCTGAATCTATGCACGGCGCATGCAATGTGCATACATGTACCGATATCTACAAGATTTCAGGCACACTGAAGTAACGGCTAATACAGTTTCCTGGTAAATTGGACATATATTCAGCCGAATGAGGCTGCTGCAACAATGTATAACAATGTCATCTTAGAGATACAGACTTAAGACACCTTGCTATTACAACCTTTAAGGTCAAGTAAACAAATTAACTAGTTTCTCTTCTGTGCCTGCTTCCTCTCCCCCCCCCCCCCCTCCTTTTTATAAATCGTACAATAGCATAAAATTGTGTCTTTTTGTTTCCGGTAAAAATGCAGCCACGTATGCAAGTCCAAAATCTGGTGGAAAGGATGATGGCTCCTTTGGACACAAAAGTATCATCACTAGGGTCGAGAAAATGGAAGAATCCATCTGCCATCTACGAAACTCCGCCATCTTGAGACAAAAAAAGGGCCGCCTCCTTCCTTTTTTCAAAAAGCCTAGACAAGAAACTATTTTTTTTTCCTTGGCCCTAGTTTTAGATTGAAATAAAGTCTCTTCCTCTGAAATTTGGTTACAATACGCATATTTCTACTCTTCCTACCCTAAAAACATGCATTGTTCGAGTGCCCTCACATGTTCAGGGATATGGCCCATTGAAGCAATGCCTTACCTCACACTTGGAGTTCCAGTGGACGGTGCCGCTGTGTCCCTTCTTCACCCAGGGGTGAATCAACAGCTCCTCCATCGAAATTCTCTTCTTGGGATTAATCTAAGATGCAGAGGGATAAAAAAAAAAAAAAAATTGTCACGTAATCCATCTGGCAAAAAGGGTCAATGTGCGAGTACTGTATGCACTAGTCACACTTGAGAAGCATCTACCCAATTTGACAAATTTACAAACGGCTTCTGAATGTGCACAAATTGACCTTTTATAAATCATGAAAAAGGGTCGTGTAAACACAAATTCCTCCTAAATTGGTCGGTCTATGATTCACCCAATCTAGGGTGCACCCACCTGTAACATTTGCTTGAGCAGGTCGCAGCTTCCGTCCGATAACCAGCGGGGCTCTTCATACTCTCCTTTCAGGATCTTCTTGTAGAGGGTGGCGACGTGATCGTCATCGAACGGGAGGAAACCACACAGGAGGGCATAGAGGAGCACACCCATGCTCCATATGTCAGCCTAGACACACAAAACAAGGCGAAATCAGTGCTGGAGCGAAAGGACAATTGTAATGTCCGTGACAGAGCCAGTTAACCATGATTTCTAATGAATGATTCAGAGAAATGATCCAAAAATTTTCAGGTTTATTCACTTAGCTCTAAAAAGTTCTACCACCGACAATAACATAACGCTGGGATTGTCCTGTAGTCACTGTTACAGTCGAGTCCATCACAAGTAGCAGCGGAGGAACAGCGACAAAAGAATGTCTTCATCACATTTCCTTTGAATAACTGAATGGTGATTTTGCTTTGGAATGGGTGACTTGTGATGGCCTTGTGAGGACTTGAGATGGACTCCTCGACAAAACTGACTGTTGGGGAGACTTTTTTAGAAACTTCAAATGCTCATAATGGGACAACAGAACTTGATTAAATTTCAACGTGAATGAGGAAACATTCTCAATGCTTTAACCAGTTGTACATTTTTGTTATTTTTGGGGGGGGGGGGCCAAGGGGGGAGGGAAAGGGGGAAGGGAAAGGAGGAGGGCGGGCAGGAGGAGAGGGCGTAGACCTTCATTGCGTTAACCTTCATTTCCCCCCTCCCAAAAAAAAAACCAGGAACAAAAATGAAGTAAGGGAAAGAAGCTACCCAGCAAAAATATTCACTATCAATTATCGGTTACATGTACTTGTACATGTAAATGTATGTTAAAGTAAAACTGCCTCATTGGAGCCTACAAATTGATATATGCAGTACACAAATCTGCGGAGTACCAGTCACAAGAAATACAATCTGCGTGACAGGTTGGCTGGTAACCTGTTTTTGTTAAGCTTACCTCGGCTCCGCGGTACTGCTTGCCTGAGACCAGCTCCGGTGCTGCGTAGGCTGGACTGCCACAGCACGTGTCTAAATGCTGCTCCATTCCACCCTGCATCCACACAACAAAAAGAAAGAAGAAAAGGTTGAACACAAAAATTGACCGAAGGATTTTTAAGCACTCTAGCAACTGAGCAATTCAGATGGTCTATCTGTTTTGTTTGCAGTTTTTTTAGGAAAAGTAATTTTTGAATTAAAAAAAATAATTATTGTAATTTTTTTTTTTTTTAAATTGTGACATTGTAAGGTAAAGTTCATACATCAGGCATGCAACTGGGAATTTAGGGAAAAAACGAGGAAACTCCAAACCACACAAGACTTTTGAACAGTATTTTTCAATTTGTAATGGCATTCATGAGAAGTAATTTAAAAACGAGGAAATCAGCGGATTTGAGGAAAAGTTGCATGCCTGATACATGTGCATTACACTTGGCAATGGGCAAAAACAAACACATAAAAAGAAGTACATGTACACATGTGCATGTACGGTACGGTACATTTACATGATCATGAAGACAAAATGCTGCAAACTGGTTCTTTTATGCAATTCACAATCAGTCATATGCAATACTGTTTGTGAAAAAATGAAGAATGTAACATACACAATATTTCTACAACAGATTTTTTCCAGCGATATTTTTTTCATCTATTTTATGCACGCAAAAAAAATTGGTAATTTTAAAAACAAAGTTTGCATAGTAGATTAAATTTGTAAAAACAAAGCTCGGATTTTTGTCCTCACGAGTCCAATCTGTTAGCATTTGAAGGACGCATGTATTGACGTATATGCAAGTGTACACACAGGAGCTTCGACATGGCTCACATGTACTGACTTCAATTAACTCGGCAAGCACTCTCTAACGCACCCACACAGGGGCATTCGCATATTCAAAGCTCCATTCATTAACGGTCGGAATGGATAAAATAAAGATTACCAGATGAGCTTGAGTGGTTATAGCGCATTCATTAGCTGGAGAGCACTTGAGTTTTTTTTGTTTTTTTTATTGGGCTGAATTATTCAGACTGGTTCCGGATAAACGAAGCGCAGCTGCGATGTGGGTGGGTGCACGCACTGCACGACGCATGCGGTAATACATCCCCCTCCACCACTACGCCCCACGCGCATGCTGATCCCCGGGTTAAGCCTGGCGACGACAAACGAGGCTGCACCTTCGCTCATGCGTTACGTCTACGTGAGTGATAACTTCATAGCCCTGAGTGGACCTCAAATTGTTTGTGGAGAATGCAATTATTCTTTTTTAATCCACTCGTAGCTGACGTCAATTACCGTAGACTCAGGACACAATGTGACACAACTTGTGCGTCATTACACGTTCATGACACCTTGTTCACATTTGTTCAACTTTGTTCTAAATGTGAGCCCTTTTTTTTTCAAGCTTGCTGCGACATGGGAACTTTTGAGAAATCCTTCCACAACTCAAAGACGTTTTTGAAGAGACCTCAATTTCATTGCCAGAAATGAACTAATAATAATAAAACAAAATGTGGCGCACGTTCTCCCCAGCATTTTGTCAACCTCCTTGCACTGAAGCGCAGCCACGACAACCTCACTACAACCCACACTCCAATGTTTACAATACCAGTACAAATTACGTGCACATGTTAGACAGTGTTTATCCAATTGTGATAAACATCACGTTGTCATCACTCCCCCCCCCCCCTGTCCTTCAGACTGCTTCGTTTTCACTCTCTCTCTCACAAACATCGCGCGTCAGACATAAAAAAAACACAAGGACATGAATTAGCTGGTCCTTACGCGGCGACAAATTTGACACTCCTGCAAGCGTCTCCGACAAATTGGGAGCCTCTAGAAGGCTGGGCAATGCCACGACGGTAACGAACATCATGTTGTTTGTTGATAACGTCCTCCCGTATTCTTCACGGCCATCCAGAAATAACTGAAGTTGGCATATCCCTCGCGACAAATTGAGGAGTGCGTTGTTTATTAATACAAGTAAAAGCTTCCGTCATCACTGTAGTTGTAAATTATGCAAATGAGGCAAGTTATTTTTATTACAATTTACGCCTTGTTTACTGAAGCCAAAAGCCATACACATACAGTCGACTCTTATTAGTACAAACTCTGTTAATACAAAATTCTGGTTATATAACAAACATAAAGCCTTGGTCCCGACTGTTCATTTATGTGCACAATGAATGGAACTGATGTTCCTCTTAATACAAAATTCTGATATAACAAACAATTTGGCTAGGTCCGAACGAGTTTGTTATAACGAGACTCGCCTGTACATGTACATGTGCATACATGTACGGTATGTACTGTACATGTGCACATACTACATGTGTACAGACCTCTGTACGGTAGCATAGATTGTTCAGCAATTATAAAACACTAAATTCATTTAATTTGTTTTGTATTTTCTATTAAAAGGAAAATATGATGCAGAGAAACTGCATCACAATTGACAAGATATTTAGCAGCTCAAAAAGTTTACATCATTTTTTTTCCAGTGATTACAAAACCATTCCGTGAGATCGTTCCATGCAAACCGTTAAGAATCAGACATCTCTGGTGCATCTGTTGGCGATAATTTCCCGTCGCGTGCCTAGCCACTACATCCCCCCCCCCTTTAAAAAACAAAATCTCTTAACAGGCTCCGGGGCAAAATGTGATGAACGATAATTTCATACCCTCCTAAAAGACCAAAGGACAGCAGTGCCTCAGGGGGAAAGAAATGCCGAGCTCGTCTAGAATATACACGTGGGGAATAAATCACGGCGCGCAAACTTGTGCAACACTGGATCACATTAAAGTAATAAATTCCTATGTTGCAACGGTATCAATAAATTAAAATTTGTAAGGCATGTTTCTGGGTTTAGTGTAGTCGGTCCAATTGAAGAAGGGAACTAAGATGAACTGGATTTTGAAAATCAAGGATTAGTAACGATCAAAGATGGATGAGAATGGATAGAAAATCTAAAGTCTAAAGTTGGGATGGGGAAAAAAAACCACCACAACAGAATGTCGTTATCAATTGTGAAAAAGTAAAAGCGCTGATAAATTCATTTTAAGAGCCATTTTTGCATGGAGAGCATAAAAATCAAGAATCTTGTTTTTCTTGTTATTTCATAATTGCTAAATATCCACCGAAAATTTTACTTCTGATAAATGATTGCACTTTCAATTCAATTTTTATTTGCAATTTTATATTTAAGTGTAGCAGAAAATCACTCAGCACCCATATCTCTGAAAGGACACCAGACGACTGAATGAAACTGCAGTTGAAAGTATTTCTGACCACATACACGTGCATATAATCAATGGTATACGCTCAACTTTTAAAAGTAGGTCAAAATAGTCTGATACCAGCTCATACCAAGCAGCACTCAAGGTACAGAAACCAAGGGAAGCTAGCATACCTTGGGTCTGGCCGCCAGTCCAAAGTCGATTAACTTTAAGTTCTGGTCGTCATCCAGAAGAAGGTTTTCCTGGAAAAGAAAAAAAAATGATTACATTACTCATTGATTCAAAACACATTTATTTTTGTTGTTGACAGGAATCAATAACACACATGTACATTGTACACTTGTATGCACTTACCGGTATGTCCGTTTTGCAATGTACATGTACATGTACATCTATGTACGGAAACCAAAAATACCGGTAGTGTACACGTACACACATTTGTCAAAACGGATGTCAATAGCTAATTCAATAGAAGTGTACACGTACAGCTTGCTAATAAATTGTAAGCACATATGCATGTCAACACATCAATTAAAGGTACACATGTACAAAATGTACATGTATGTAAAGTATATTTATACACGTACTGTTACATGTAAATACATTATATATTCTTTGCATCATGTACGTGCCCAATTACAAACCAACTGAATGCGGTATTCACAGAAATTTCCAAAAAAATGTGTCACTTGACACATCTTTGGAAATGACCTCAGTGCTTTTATTGTTCGCTTCAAAATGACAGCATGCCAGAAGGAATAATGTCCAGGGAGTTCAGTGTCATTACTATATATCTTTAAACCAAGTAAGCTTTTCATTAATTTGGTCGGTCACTTTTTGGCATCTAGAGCTGCAAACGGACCACTGTATATTTTGTGCAAATGAATTTTGTGCAAATTTTATTATGGCAGATATGTCTGTAGAAACCGAATACATTGTATGCCTCTGAGATAAAAATGAAGGACCAATAACTCAATCGCTGCAATTAATGTGAACTATCAAAAAGTTCCAGTTAAGCAGCCGAAATACCGGGACATGTATCAGTTGTTGGAAAAACAAAAAATGCGCTTTAACTTTTTGGGTTGCCCTTTCACTACACAGTGAAATGTGAAAGTGGCGTACATGTACATGTGCCCACACGCTGACGTGCAGGCCCAACAAAACTCCACGATCCACGAAAATTTATGAACGCTAATAAAAACAATTACGACCGGGGAGGAGAGTTCCCCCAATCTCTGCAGCACCATGGGCACACACGCGTATCGATTGGACTTCATTAACGAAGCAGACTTTTTTTCTTTTTTTTACGGTACCGTCGTTTTTTCTTTTATTTATGTTCCACGCGAGGCACTTGGAAATGTCAACGGTTCACAACAACAACAAACAAAGATCCGCTTTTCCAAAACCTGTGACGCAATCCGGTCTAATCTTGGCGCCCCGTTATTTCCACGTGGGCGCTAATCATAACTAAGTAGCCCTAACAGGAAAGCAAACTCACGCCAAAAATAGCATGGTCTGATAGACGGTTCAGAGAGAGTGACGTTGTTGGAGTTTTGTTATGGTTGAGAAGATACAGTCGTAGTGTGCATGTACGTAATTTCCCTTAACCAATCAACTTTGAACCAATCGACAAAACTGTAAGAGATGTGTGTTTTTTTTCAGCAAAGATAACAAAATAAAACAAAAAATACTCCTAATGGAATGAATCATCTCAATCAGAGGAATATTGTGATGCTTTAGTTCAATCACATTTTTACTGTTTACGTCACGTGTAAACTCACAAATGTAAATCCTTATTTTGTAAGAAAATTACATCAATGATATTTCTTTGGTAAAATCTTAGAGTTTACAAAGAAAGCACAGGAAAAAAAAACATAATAATTCCAGCAATGGGCAATGATGGAAAAGAAATGCAAGTACCCGGTATCAGGAAAAGTAATGCCAGTATCAGGAACAGAGTAAATTTAAAAGGATAAAAATTCTGCAGTATAAAATATATGAATTAAAATTAAGTAAATTGAAAATACCACACATGCTTCAGGGTTTTTTTTATTTTTATTTTTTTCAATCAGAGACCTATATCATGTATGGTTATTAACCCACAGAAACTATTAGTATGCCATTAGCAGCGTTTTGCTGATGACTCAACACTGCAAAAAAAACCAACAAAAACACTGCCCTAAATTAAGGCAGTGTCATCCAATACCGCCGCAGCCTTGACAAGACAGATGTACAGTTTACCGACCGAGAGCAGTCCCATATGTAAGAGTGCGTGCGTCTCACTTTGGTGCAAGCCGACACCCTAAGCGGCTAGTGGAATGTTTCCTTCCCCGGTCCCCACCTGCAGGGCGCCGGCCAAAATAATCACCAGCTCTGATACCCTACGGTGGTGTGGGGCCGGGCCAGGCCAAGACAGGATGGGGTCTCGGAAGAAAAAAAAAAAACCACGATTGAGAAATTCCTAGAGCTGCCAGGGGGAAGGGTCGCAATCCAGCAGTACAGTCCGCACGTTAAGGAAAAATAATAAAATTAGCGCGGGGGTTTTGGCAATCAGTGTTATCCTGACGGATCATCAGCGTCAAGCGACCCGAACCAGCTCATCGAACTCTGACATATGAAACTGGAGCCAGGCAAATATATCTACGAGACGTAATCGTAATCGGCTGATTGCCTGTCCAGTGTAATGGCGTGGTGGTAGTGGTGGGGGGCAAAATCTCGGTGGATTAAGTGGCATGCCGTTTGGTCTGGGTGAGGAATTAGAAGAAGGGGGGGGAGGTTAAAATTGTGGTGCTTGGGTAAGCTTACTGTCAACATGGGAAAGTAACTACTTGAAAAGTATAAACTTGGAAATATTTGGGAGAAGGAGGGACCTCGGAAAGGTTTAAAGGTTTATGGATTGTTTGGCTAATTGGAAGACGTTTTAAGAACGGAAAAATGTGAACTATCGGTACAGCTAAAATATTTATTGTACATATTTAAGAATTTTGAAAACTAAAAAAAAAAGAATAGACAAATAAACAAGAAAACCAGTTGAAGGGACAAATTTACATGAATGTTTATAAGGTCACAACATTGGGAACTAAAAGTGGGACATTAGAAATCTGAAGCAAGATGAAAGCTGCATGCTGTTAGTTTTCTCTTACATTGTTGGGAGAAACATCCCTTTAAGTGGAAAACAACATTACAAAGATAATAGGCCAAATATTTGTCACTGCAAGGCAGATTATATAATGGTATTTTTTGGAAGGTTAACGTAAGTTACATGGTGTCCACTTTCCACTTGTGCATTCTTCTGCAAGTAGCAAACAAGGCAGTTATGGGCTTCTTGTAGTCTTGTCAAGGTATTCATTTCTTATTAAAATCAAATTGCGGAAAAATGCTTGAGGAGAAGTGGGTTTATTCACTAATAAGTGGACACCATACGGTAACTAACGATAAGTGGACGCCGTAAGAAAGGACGGTAGCTTGTGAGAGGAAGTTTCAGGAGAAAGAGAGGGGAAAAACAAAGGATCGTTTAGTTCTTCAGGTTGCTGACTGAACAAATGTTCAGTATAAACCTGAGCTATTTATTTACACAAATGATTTTAGAAAAGAAAAAAAAAAGGAGGAAACCCAGTTGGATTTCATCAATGGTAAATGATACATTAATGGTATTGGAATTTAAAACCCGGCGGCGTAGGAACGCAGACTCTGCGAGTAAATTGTAAAACGTGACCGTGCCGTTCCCCGGCCTCCCACCAAGGGGAGAGAAGAAGAAAGCAGGAATCGTTAACAAGAATAATCAATGGATGGGGTTACGGATGAAATGCCAGGCAGGGGTAACTCTAGTCAGCGTTAAGTCGGGGCGAGGGAAACTTGCCCCACTTCACGGGATAAAAAAAGAGAAGACAAGAGGCAAGTAAAACAAGAGGTAAGACACTCGCTAAACAAGGTCGGGCGAAATACAATTCGCATATTGATTAGGCTGGTGTGCGTGTGTACAGTGCATATGTCGGGAAGCTAGTTTGTCCAACTTTTTGGAAGGCCTCTAGAGTTTCCGTTGTCACAAGTGTTGCATGGGCCATTTTATCGCTAACGGGGCATCAATCACCTGAAGCACATAGCACCTAGCTCACACCCTTTCCATGTTGCCAGAGGAATGCACACCTTTTTTTGACACACATGTGGGAACGTATAAATTACTACATTGAGGCATTTAACGTGGCCTCCGTGATAATTAGAACGCGTATCCCACGCCAGACTGTAGGGTTTAATGTAAAATTAATGCATGTCTCTTTATAATGCACACATACTGTCATGTATGTGACGAGTTTAACCAACAATTGAGAGCAAGGTGTTCAGAAGTGGGTGTTAATGTACATTATGTACAATGTACAGATATTCTGGAATTTGTATCCTTGTGGAGTCATTTCTTTGTTCTCGTGTACTAAAAAAACTTGAGCTTGCAAATCTAGTTTCAAAATGCTCCTATTTTAACCAGAATTAATTTCCTGGGCTGAAATTTGGACTTAATATCCCTTACATTTAAAATGCTTCAATTTGCGACGATCAACACACCTTGGAAATTCCTAGTTTTATTTTTAGTAAAATTCATATTTCGCGATAACCTTGTGGAGACGTATTCACCTATAGAAATTGCCCCGTGGAGACGTATACAACTTTTGTTCCCTATTATACCCATGTCTCCACAGGGTACCGTGTACCAGATCATATACATGTACACGTACGTATACTTGTTCCGTACCGGGTAGTTGTGGGGACTACACACGAGTTGTCCAATACTATGGGGACCGAAGACGCTGCCGGGACAGCAATTTGCCTAACAATACAAAACTTCCCTATAGCGGGGTGACAGCCTGCACACATGTTTGTATACATGGTGTAAATCAAGGATTTCTTATTTTTTTGCAAAAGCTCCCATTGGTTTTCACACGTTTCCCAATCGAGGACATCCTCGATTGGACACCTGTCCTCAATTAAAAAACAGATATTTCACATACTGTGTGTCCTCGATTTACTTACATACGCATGCACGCGAAGTCGTTTTTAGCATTACGTCAGAGGACAAGGCATTGTGTTTCTCTCTGTTTTACATGTATGAATGTGGTGACAGAAATTGACATTTTTTATTGCATTCGGTTGCATAGATGTGAAGGCATCAGCCAAATTGCCCCAAGGTGAACAGCGTGAAAGTGTTCATGTCCAAAGTCCAGCTATCATTAATTCAAATTTCTTTTTCACTAGCCTTTACTGCTGCCAAAAACAAAAAAGAAAAAAAACCGGCAATATGTGATGGTACCGGTATACGTACATGTTCTGGAGGTAACCAAAATGTCAAATACATTGTTTACATACTGTATCCTACTCTTCTTTACACTGTAAACTCTGCTATCAGGCAATGAATTACAGTTATATAAATACAATTACAATGTCAATGGCTTGAATTCAAGTTAAAAACTTCCTTTATAGCAATGTACATGTACATTTGTAATTCCTAACATCAATGTAGAAAAAAATTCAACGACGAAAAACAACCCACGCAACGGGTTAATTTGAAAGACAGACTTCTAGTTAAAAACAAAAGCTACATAGGAAAGTTGTACTGTAGTATAGCTAGGGTCTGCTTGATATGTCATACAGTAGACGTCATCCTTCATTTGCAGAGCATAGTGTGTGACATATTAAAAGAAGATGTCATGGCATGTGAAATAAGTGATAAATGTGGCTTAAAGGTACCGTAATGTATACATTTGCTTTTGCTGTAATTTTCAAAAATGGATGGATGTGGGGGTTAGTATTTTACAGCACATGTTGTAACACTGACTTGTTTAAAGTTTTGTGTTCATAAATGCTGGGGAAAACAATTTAAAAAAAGGCTACTCTTGTAGTCTGGTTCCCTGACCTACCGGTACTTCGGACGAAATCAGAGCAATACACGGGGAATTATCAGGTCAAGGAACCAGACTAGCTGGCTTGCACCCGTTCATGGTTGTGCAACCGGTTGTAAAAAAATTATGGGCTAACTAAATATGGTAAATTGGGGGCAGTATTTGGAAAAAAGTCAGATTTTTTTCCAACGATGGTTGGCCGACCATCGTTGGAATTACAAAAATTCCACTTTTCTTGAAAATGACAGCACACCAGGTGCCATGACTTCAAAGGATGCTTGATACTATTATTCACTTACAGTCAAGTAAGGTATTTCATAATAATTTGGTAGTTTTGGTATTGGATATTTGCAAATGTTGTATATTACCGGTACCTTTAACTTCGATGGGGGGAGGGGGGATATCAGTACTGACAGATGTGCTTCAGCTATAGGTATTAAGCTGTATCCAAGCAGATCGCTGGGGAGGGGGTGGGTAGGTGTCACAATTTCGGCTGCGTCATTTGGGGGATTTGATTCGCTGCCCTCCGCGAATCGTCTTGTCAACAACAAACCGATGGCGCGACTGGGCATGGAGTTTCGTGTGACGTTGCCGGATTACTGACCCCTTTCACTTTGATTAAATTCTGACGTAAAAACAAGTGTTCGCGGTTGAACAAGAAAGTGCCTCCTTCTAAAAAAATAAGTTGTCATCACTCGTGGATTTGTTTTCCATTAAGGTATTTTCGTGGTGTCATGTAACAGTCTACACAGGTACTAATAGTAGAATAGTTTTTTTTTTTAACTTACGTTTGATACTTCTACTGGTACAGTAGCTTTCAAGGTATCGTGTCTGATCCCAATAACAGCCCGAGCAATAGAGAAACAACACAGGATTTGACAGGAAAAAATGACTGTGAATTGGCTTATCAAAATTGATGCGTTGAGCAAAAATCAGCTGAGTAAATATGTTGGATGCCTAGCAGCACGTTTCTTTGCTTAGAAGGTCCTTGAAACCGGTGCCTGGATTTTCAATTTCTGTTACTAGCCCTGCTTTCTCGGACCCTCTTATATTAAGTGAATATTTGTGGTGCTTAGCAAATTTCTATGCCAAGCAGCCCTGATCAAGTCGGTCCTGGATGTTTTTCAAGTTATGTTTTTTAAGCCTCTAGGCTTTCTCAGGCCCTGTTACATTAGATTTTCGACTTAAAAATTATTATTATTTTTTTAATTGAAATTTCAGAGTCATTCAAACCATTGCCAAAATCTATTCCTGGAAGTAACACGAATTGACGAAATTCCAAGCTTTAAAAAGACTTTACAGTGTTTTTTAATATTTAATCAGGATTTGACTTTAGATGTACACGTAGCCCGCTAGCCAAATGATAGTCAAAATAGTGGCAGGCTAGTCAAACTATTCCTCAAGTAGCCCAGCTGGCGAGTCAAATATTATTGGGCTATGGTAAAGATGAAAGGACTGGAAGAAATAAATCATTAAATTCAGAAAGCAAACCTGCATCAATTTGTGTCTAATTATATTAACTGTTTAGGGTAAAATTATTAGATCTGTTAAAACACTGACAAGATTGCCTCAGGATACACATTTTACATACATGTACATGTATGCACACTGTTGTTTATGAGACACTCTATAGAAGAAAAACATGCAGACTAGTTAAGAGTCTGTTTCAGTAGCCCGGCTGGCTAGTGAAAAAAAAAGAGTTAAATTCAAACCCTGATTTAATGTGAAGCGAGAAAAGAGGAAATCAGCTGACCCGAGGAACATTTGCACGCCTGTTAAGAGTTTACATTTCACAAATCTTACCGGTTTTAGGTCTCTGTGTGCATAGCCCTTGTGGTGGATGTAGGCCACAGCCGACAGAATCTGCCGAAAGAATTTCCTGGCCTCGGATTCCTTGAGACGGTCTTTGGCCACGATGTAATCAAACAGCTCACCGCCGGGGCAGTACTGGAAAGAGAAAATAAAAAATTGGAGATAGATTAGGTGAGGACGAATAAATAAGAAACAGACGTAACACCTGTGTTCCTGATTACTCAATTCACTTTGGCAAATCAATCTTTTGAAAAGAAATATGTGTCATTCTTTAAATTTATGGTCCCAAGTGCGACATCTTTCCTGTCACTGTTGCCTTGATAATTTGTAATTTGCCATTCAAATTTCAATGAGAATGACTTAATTTTTTTTTATTTGTTAGGTAGGTAGTTTGCTATTCATAATCACTCTTGGAGGATGACTGCATTGAGGAGTGCATCAGAACTATAAAATCATAGATGTCAGATGTAACAGGGACAGAGAAAATAGTGGACCAAAAATTTGTAGGATGACCTGTGTATGTTTAGTTGAAATAACCCCAACAAACATGGAATTATTCAAAATTCCATCCACAAGTCACAATTAAAGTTGAATTTTACATTTCCCTCACGAAAAAACACAAAATTGGCTTAAGAACTGAGTGAATGATAGTTTGATGTCATTCAGAGTTGTAACTGTTCTCGTGTTTATTTATGTACATGTCTGAAAAATTGCACAACTTTGTGGAGGAAACTGATCAGATTGAAAATCTCAACATAGTCAAATAAATTCTTCCAAGAATTCCCTGATCTCTCCTTCCCAGAATTCCCTGATCTTCCCTTCCCAGAATTCCCTGATCTTTCCTCCTCAGAATTCCCTGATCTTTCCTTCCCAGAATAAAATCCCAGATCTTTCCTTAACCCAGTATTCCCTGATCTTTCCTTCCCAGAACTCCCGGATCTTTCCTTCCCAGAATTCCCGGATCTCTCTTTCCCCAGAATTCCCTGATCTTTGTTTATACTCATTTTGAAGCTGTCCCGTTCTCAGAAATGTCTGGTACAACCCAGAAGTGACTTTGAGAAAGCCACTAGGATCGGCCGATGTACACTTTACAGTGAAAATGTGGAGTAACAACTGGAAATGATTCAATTTGATTCTGACACAGACTTTGCCCAAGCCTAATACAATTCAAATTTTTTGGATAGAGAACAAGTACAAATGTAGTACACATGCATACGCATATATGTTATGAACGCATTTTCACTGGCATATAGCCAACCTGGTTCACATTCTTCAGATGTGGCATGCTTTAGGCTGCTACGGTATATATAGAGAGAGACCATTACCTGCATGTCAATGCGTAATATGGGTAATGTTACACATTCCAAGTTGACAGTAATGGTCGACATTATTCATAAACAACACTGATATTAATGTTGTAAGGAAAAACAAAAAAAAACAGGTCTGCCAGAAAAATTCATAGCATGTTCTGGAATGCATACATGTACACCAAAGGACTGACTGAGAGGGTATTTTTTTTCTAGTCGTACCTCAATGACCATGAAGATCTTGTGTTTGGTCTCGACCACCTCATACAGCGTGCAGATGTGCTGGTGGACCAGCTCCTTCATGGCTGTAATCTCCGTCTTGACTCTCGGCAGGTCATCCTGAGATGGGAAGATAGGTGGAAAAGGGTGAATAACTCGAACCAAGAGAAAGGGAGGTGCAACGTGCAGTGGTATTTTCCCTTCCTTCAACTCCTTGACCCCGGAAGAAAAAGCGGAAACTGAAAACTACTGTTTCTAAAAACCAAATATGTGAGGGCCTGTCACCATAAGAGGAATTAAAGTCGGACTTTAAAGAATTGAGATATCTATCTAGATTCTGCAGAACAAGAGCTTTCTAATGGTATACAACGTTAAGGGTACTGAGTTCAGTAACAGGAAAAGAGACCGCCAACTTACTTGAAGTTGTAAAACTGATTCTCGAGAACATGGCATTTAAAATTCTACAGTTGTGTTACAGTGAATGAACGATAACATCATAGGCCTAACAAGTGTAAAATAGGTTTTCAAGATGTTTGACGGAAGAACATAAAATTGGAGAAAAGTAAAACAGGTCTTACAGATTAATGTTCACCAGAAAACAAAAAAATCAACCCCTTCAAATTTTGGCTTCGCCCCACTGTAGGGCCTACTGCAAAACGACAATTTCCGACTTTAAGCTCATTTTGTTGTGACAAATTACATATTTGGTTCAATCTACAAATTTAAATGAAGTTTGACAGTTGGATTGTACATGTAACCAATAATAAGAGTTCATAATTTTCATTTGATTAATATCTACATCTAGACCGATATACCGGTACATGTACATGTATTCTTATTCTTAACCTTCATCATTGTAACAACATGTACATGTACCAGGAAATAAGTTAATTACTGTCACTTCAGTTCAAAAGGAATCATTAAAATTCATGCACCATTCAGTTCAGTTCAATGCCATTCAAAATATTTCTGTGCAATACATACATGTACATGTATCTCAAGGATTTCTTGTTCTGCAAAAAGCTAAAATTTCGTATTCTCAAAGTACAGGTACAAAACCATAGGAGCTTGATACACACGTTAGGTAATGGAATATACATTGTACACAATGCAGTTGTATGGTGTTTGCACGCCGGTACATGTATTGTGCCTAGCAGGCCTTGAGGATTCCACACACTCTGTCCCTCAAGATAATTGCACGTAACTTAATTCGATTTCCATAATTGCAAAGTGTAATCAAAACCACGGATAGAGTGCTGGGTGTATGACTATGACACCAATACCGGTTAGTGCCAGATATCGTAAAAATACAATTGTACAATGCACGCTATACACACGTGCATGTTTGACGTACATCTTTTGAGTAAACAAATATTTATAAATAACACGCGGGAACAATTGCGATCAAATGTGACGCATGTTTCATGACATCACTGAAGTAAATTTAGCTGTTGTCGGTTACCATGGGGAATAAAAAAATATATAATGAAGAGAAAAACTTAGGAATTCAAGATTTCAAAAAGTGTTCCTTACAATTCCTGAAATCAGGAAAAATCCTGACCGAAAAAACCACTGAAATCTGATAAAATCCTGACCAAAAAAATCCTGACCAAACAAATCCTGAAATCAGGAAAACTCCTGACCAAAACATCCTGAAATCAGGAAAAATTCCTGACCAAAATATCCTGAAATCTGAAAAATCCTGACCAAACAAATCCTAAAATCAGGAAAAATCCTTACCAAAAATACCTGAAATCAGGGAAAATCCTGACAAACAAATCCTGAAATCAGGAAAAATCCCGACAAAAAAATCCTGAAATCTGGAAAAATCCTGACAAAAAAATCCTGACAAAAAAATCCTGAAATCAGGGAAAATCCTGACCAACAAAATCCTGAAATCTGGAAAAATCCAGACAAAAAAAAATCCCCAAATCTCACCCCTGTTAAATTACATGTAATTGTTATGCACAGCACGAATCCAACGAATTCACCCATACATGAAGTGGGTCACAAATTTTCAAATCGAGGGCACCGATATCGATTCAACCGTGCTCCGTTACTGACCCTACTCCCCCCCCCCCCCCCGACATGACCACGTCAACCATGGATGTGCGTACGTGAGCAGGCATACCACGACTCACCCCTAACGCTCTCTTGTCCATGATCTTCACCGCGACCTTCTCCCCCGAGGCCAGGTGCGTGGCTAGCTTGACTTTGGCGAAACCACCTGAGTTCACAGAGCAAGATAAAAAATGGAGAAATTAAGTTCCAGCCATTTTCAGTGTAATCCAGCACACAAGTGTTAATCCTGAACCCACCAAGATCCTTCAAAACTCAGGATTTTGTTGGATTTTGGAAGGTAGAGCAAAGTAAAGTCCCGGCGCAAAATTCCATCTTATGAAAAGTAAAGTGCCTTAATTAATTTAAAACTTATTCTTAAACCTTGCTGATCCTTCCAAAAACCCACAGGATTTTGTAGGATTTTGTAGGAAAGTGGAAGGTACAGTGTGACCACAATTGATTTTAGGCACAAGTATTAATCCTAACAAAACCAGATTTTTCTTAAAGGTCCCATGCAATGTAATTTTTTTAATGCAATCCTTTGAAAATGCACCTTTGTACATATGAATGCCATTTAACCTTATTTTCATTTTTTGTTTGCCATTTTCAAGGGTATTTTGGTGTCTTTTTTGGTTTTTATGCTAAAATGCCAATTTCCAAATACATGAGCAGTGTGATGTCATTTCAGGGAGAAACCTCAATGTTACAGTAATTTCAGCACCAAGAATTGCTCGAATGAATTTTGGATATTTTGCTGGACATTGTAAATTTTCTTTGTCGCGATTGTGTATTTCCATGCGTAATCAACTATTTTCACACATTAAAAGGTCCACTCTACATTGAAAAGGTCCACTTCATGATAAAAATGTGTATTTTCATGCGTAATCAACTGTTTTCACACATTTAAAGTTCCCCTTTATGGTTAAAAGGTAAACTTCATGGTGAAAGCAACCCACCCCTTCCACCAGGCTGGCTATAGCCCTAGACCAAATAGGCCTACATGTACAGTGTATCAAAAATCTATTTTAATTATTGTTTTCTTCCACCATATGTTCCATGTCATTTAAAACGTGTAAAACAATTAACAGTTAACACAAAAATGTCCAATCCCAATTCAATTTCCTCAAGGATCATTACTCAAAACAATTTCATCAGCACTTTGTTTAATCAATGCTTGTAAGCATAAAAGTTGGAATAATTGCATTTATATTTTATGTAATCCCCACGAGAATTGTACACAGAGAAATATATTATCGCCATAAAAATGTACATTTACACAAATGCTCTAAATGTTTAGGCTTGTACGCACAGTCGAATGCGTAGGGCGAGAAATTAGTTAAAAAGAGAAACAGAACGCAGGCGGGGGACGAGATAGTGGATTATTTTTGTACTTGGCCTAATTATTATGATTATTCTTTTCGTACATTATACTGGTACACATCTTACTGTCCCCCGACTCAATTGGCATATAAAATTTCCATTTTCCGTTGTCAAAGTGAATATATACATAATGTACATGTACATGTACATGTATGTGCATGATGTAATTTACAAGACCAAGACCATATGAATGAAAAACTTCTTGGACTTTCAGAAATTATCCAAAAAATTGGACTTCTCAACAAAATTGTACCTCGTGTGACACGAAAGACAATTTTTTGGCTTTTGTTTTGTTTTTGTTTTTTGGTTGTTTTTTAGTCACAATAAACAGTTGCATATTTTTCTCTAATTAAAAAACATGGCAGGAACTTCACAGATCATATAAATTGACTAAACCCCCTTCCCAATAAAAAAACCCATGCACAGCCTAAAAAAATACTCCCGAAAAGCAATCAGAAAAACAACGGTTTATGCACTCACCGGACCCAATCGTTTCCTTGAGGTGGTATCGCGACCTGATCACGTCGTACTCCGAAGACGCCATGTTCTGTTTTAGGCCGTTGATGGCAATCTCCGGAGCCTTCAACCTGCGAATGGCGTGATGAAAAAAAGAAAAAAGGCAGAGATGAAATTAATGAAAAAAAAAAAAGTAGGAAGAAAAAAAAATTGATTATTTCACGCGAGGTTGAAGACGCTCTTGAAACACTACACTGCACTCCAATGCATAGCTTCATTTCAATCTGCAGCGTTTGCACGTACCGGAACGTACGTACGTAAGCACCACGGTAAGTGTAGTACCGCCCTAACCGGTACATGTACATACGTGTACAAGTACAGTGTGTGTGTGTGTAGTCTCCGATGTGTGGTGACGGGATTAACATACATAATCAGCATTTGAAAATTGGAAGTGCACGGTTGCCCAAAACTGTAAAAACAGGCAGTTGTATTGCTGAAGTTTTAACGCTGCTATAAATTTGTTTTAACAAAATGGGCGACTAAAATAGCCTACAAGAAGTCCATAAGACGTCCAGACATTCCTCTGGCCATGCTTGCTAAGCGTCTGGCAATTGGTAAATTGTAAAAAATGTAAATTCTAACCGAGCAATTACATCCACTATAGTCAAATAAGAGCACGCGCGACTACTCTCAGGCCCTAAAAAATGCTGGTGGTGGTACTGAAGAGTATTATTGACAGTATGTCATAAAATCTTGGAAATGCATGCAAAACGCAGGGTGTCAGGGATTTTAGATTCTGTGTAAAGGCTAGGTCATACATCTACTTCACGTTAATGTGAACGCAAAGGCCAAAGTGAATTTGACGTCATGTAACATAATTCGCTGAGAAATTCGCCGGCGTTGAAATGTGTTCAAACTTTTGTGAATTTGATGCGTAAAAACTTGCCGCGACCGCCCAAATTCGTGCTAGCGTTCACTTTCCACTGAGTATAAACCGGGCTTAAAGTTGGCTACTCCCCCCCCCCCCCAAAAAAAACCCCTGAGATTATGGCCAGTATTTTGTACATTTGGCAGTTCAAATTTGACATTAAGTTAACTTTAGTGCACGGTCTGTCCATTCTTTTCTTCTTCTCGGACTTCATTTTACCAGTTGATGCACACACTTCAAGTAAAAAGCAGGGACTGGTGAAATCTAATTTCTCTCGCGTCCAAAATCCACAGCGCAAGCAGAATTTACCCAGTCAATGTTGTGGAGCAAGTGTGATGTCAGAGCCAATTTTCCATTTCAACAGTCAATATTCATTTTTTTTTTCAATTCAGGAAATCTAATTAATCATTGAAGAACATGATCAATAAAATCTACACAAACCACTTGCCCCTCCCACATTTTTAAAAATAAATGCATGTACTACAAATGTAGTGCAGAACATATGCAAAACTTCAAAGTGGTTTTGTCTGTTTTTATGTGTTTTTTTCTGTTATGTGTTTTATAATCAGCTGTATGTAGCACATGTACACATGTTCTACAAATGTAGTGCAGAACATATGCAAAACTTCAAAGTGGTTTTTGTCTGTTTTTATGTATTTTTTTTTCTGTTGTGTTTTTAATAATCAGCTGTGTAGCACATGTACACATGATCTGATACACTGTGCCCTCTGGAGACATGCACACAATAGGGAACAAAAGATTGTATACGTCTCCACAGGGCAATTTCTATAGATGAATACGGTACGTCTCCACAAGGTTTTCACGAAATACCGGTAGATATATGTATTTTACTCAAAAACTAGTAATTTCCAAGGTGGGTTGATCTGTTGCAAATAAAAGAGTTTTAGAAAAGGGATGTTAAGTTCGAATCTCAGCCAAGGAAATTAATTTTGGTTAAAATAAGAGCATTTTGAAACTACACTTTCAAACTCGAAAACTTTACTGAACGAGAACAAAGAAATGTCTCCACAAGGATACAAATTTCAGTATGTATGTATGTATGTATGTTAGATTACAAGGGTCTAGTTACCCTTATACTGTGGAGAGTAATTCCAATGCACTTTCGACGTTTATCTGAAAAACAAGGCCATGATGATGATATACATGTACAACCAGGACGCATCAAGATACAGAGGCCCTAATCGGGATAAGATGTTGAAATATATGGGTTATGCGGTAAATTTATATGGCCACATTTTGTATACCGTGAACCTTCATGTACTGAACGTAATTTACAAGCTGGCAGATTTCAAACAAGTGCAGTAGCACTGATGTAGGTACATTAACCCAAATGTTACCAGATCCTTTGAAAATCAACTAGAAGGCTTTCCAAGATTGTGCCGGATTGAGGGTGCAGCAAATTCTTACAGGGTGAGTTTCAAAAAGCGGAACCTAAACCCAAAAAATATATTTCAAATTTAAAAAAAATATGTAGCACCCAAAAAAATAATGACTGGGAAGCCAATTTCATAAGTTACTTTTAGATGAAAAATTACTGAAATTGCTCTATCCGTTCAAAGAATATCACCATTTAAATGCAAGGACCCTAAAACCGGTCTCGTCCAAAAAAAAAAGCAATCATGCGATGTTATTTCTTGTAACTGGTTCACAGGTCATCTACAGTATGGTTAGTACATTGTGTTGCAGAGCAACATTAAACAGCTCTAAAAACATTGAGAGATAGGAAGATGATCTTGATAAGAGTAGCACTTCGATCTTCTGTTACAAAAGTGCAAGTTCAGGATCGCTTGTTGTGAAAAAAAGATCAATTTCTATTGATAATTTAGATGGTGGCTGTGGCTGTATGCCATAAAATGTATAAAATATGATGAACACATATACATGTAGTGGTGTTTGCTATAAACGTGGAGCACTTTGACGTTTCCCCCCGACTTTCCTCGTGCAGTGTTGCCAAACCTCTTGCATGTTCAAAAACTTTAAATTCATTTAGTTAAATACTGGTTTATTACCTTAATAACGCTTGCTGTTGAACCTTCGTGAAAAATTTCAGTGTCACGAAGTTTAGTCCGAAGTTCAAAAATGGTGGCGTCCGGAAACTGGGCAAAAATCAGCCGAGTGTTCCCTAACGTGGCGCACTTGAATAAATCTCGGAAAATCCCAAGTTAACATTTAAGAAGTTCTTTCCAGTTGAAAAACTCTGATAAATCATATTATCTCCACTCACATACCCAACTAGGAGTTTGTCACAAAATAAATTTTATTTCTGGGCCCATTTCCAAACATTTTCAAAGGGTTCACTGTGCACTTTGAAATAAAAATCGGAAAATTACGCCAAAATATATTTCCCTGCTAACTTTGTCACGGGTAGATTAACTCATGATTTATGAACAGGAATATTTATAGCCTGATGTAATTTCACTTATTGTGAAATTTCCGGTAAAACTTTTGCTCGGCAAGGTGCAAAGTGCGCCACGTTAGGGTCCTCACCACGCTAGGGGACATCAACAATATGTACTGTGTGTAGTACACCATGTATGATTCTGTACCAGGAACTTAGGACAGAGAGATCACAGATGAACAAAGAAAAACAGAAACCAGAACTGAATTGATGAACAGTAACAAGGACCTCAATGATTCCAAACAGACCTTTAAAAGCTACTGGTACTGGCAGAAACTCTTCTAAACCGTTTCATATTAAAGTGTTGACACTGCACACACGAACACGAGGCATAAAACAATACGACATACGTACATAAAAATACACTAGTCAACTTAATACATGTAGCGGTACCATTATATATTTACTTAAAGATGATTCAAAAGCGAAATTTTGAAATACTGCTGGCATAAACTTTTCAAAACCATTTCATGATGTTGACACTGCACACATGAAAGTAAGGCATACAAAAATATGACATAATGTACACGCACACTACTCACAACATACAAGAACATACTATCACATTTTAATAAAAGAAAGAAGCCACAAAAAAAAGGACAAAGTTTGGGATACAATAAAACATATGAACACCTACAGTGAATGTGTCCGCATCTTGTATGCCGTTTCTGTAAAACACGCCAAGAAACTAGAAGACTGTAGAAACTTGCTGTCTCTCGCTCTCTTAAGAAAAACGCTGTCCCCTTCTGTGGTGAGTCTGCCGCAGTAACTTGTCCAAAAGTTATCCCAATCGATCTAACACGTGGACAATTTACAGTACCGGGAGAAATTCTTCATCGTAGATTGCTCATCCAGAGTGGGGCTGTGTCCAACTGGAAAATGTCAGAGCATCGCATCTGTTCTTTTTCCTCCTTGATGTTTGAACGACAAGAAAATGCTCACAGCGGATGTTTCAAGATCACTTTTGGTGCGATTGAACCTCTGTCATAGTTTCAGTTTTCCTTTTGAAAAAAATCCCAAGTCACTCTGACCACAGATGAATAAGTTGCCTCCCTGAAATTTCTAAAGGAGTCACTGCCAGGTACGACAAAATTGTAAGGAACTACTTTCACTCTGATGGATGCCTTCCCTAAAATAGCGAAATCCGAGTTGGCACTTGCTCCGGGAAGTTTCTAATTTTGTACAGCGTTTGTCACATCACCAACGGGCACACTTTAGATGAGTTTAACTGAGCAGAAGAATTCCAGGTGGAATTTCACAGCACGTCTCTTCCCAGAAAAAAAGTAATTCGGAAATCCCCTCCGCCTATTTTATTACCTAGATTCCTAGAGGTTTCTCCCATCAAGTAAAGAAATCGTCTGTTTCCAGTTTTTTTTTAAGTGGCTGGCATTAGCTCGTCATCCTTCTTCCGCGAAGAAATGGTTAACGAGGACAGCCGTAAAAATTACTGGTAGAATACAACTGGCTGAGTAGCCCAAGCCAGGGTATTGGACAAAGCTAGTAACGTCATCCACTTAGAAAGTCGTCATGATGAGTCAGGCTTTATTGGTGCATTCAAGACTCTCCCTGGATGAATTCGCCGTGCTGAGTCACCAGCTAACTGACGGAGTACCGGTCTGGCTGGGCTTTAAATACCAACGAGTGTGGTGGGGGCTTGAGTTTCGTTTCGGCATGCACACTGCCTAGGCCGAGCGTACTGAGCGTGCCCGGGGGGGCCGGCGCACTGCAGAGTGGAGTGCAGCCAAGTTGTGATTAATTCTCCTCGCGGCCAGTATATATACCAA